TTTTCCTAATCGGAGTTCACCATCTGCTTCCTGTTGGGACCCTAATTTATACAATGTCTCTCTGCTCCCAATATTTCCAGGAAACTGGCAGTTAAATTTGGAGGCCTGACCAGATTCAGATTAAAAAATTTTTGTAAGAGTACTTCATGAAGGTGTTCATTGTGTTATAATGCCTCATATCAGAAGGCACCTGATATCTGTCCATTATAAAGGTACCTTCAGCTCTTCACCCGATGGTTCCTAGCAGGGGTTGATGATCACGGCCCCTTGCCATTATCCGGAGTTAGACAATTGTGGTATTCTATCATTCTTTCTTTATGTATTAGCTGGAAATCCTCTATAAAGAAAAATTCCCTTATCATCTCTTTGTTTACCATGGGAAACAGTTGGTACAGGAAAGGCCGGATCAATGCCTGCTTCTTTCACTTTATATCATTTGCAGAATTATGAGCTGGTTCCTCCAAAGATAACCAATGATGAATTCGTGGATTTTAATATCTGATGTGCTTTAACCCTTCATTTTTATTCTTTCTGAATGTCCAGTGATCTCATTCCTTGGCCAGTGGGAGCCACTTCAAGTTGGCTTCTGAGTTCTTTCAATATGATCCCAGGAGTCTTTGGGAGTCTTTGATAGTTTCCTTGCTTTCTGATGCAACAAGATAGTCCAGGTTCATCTTGTCTATTTCCTGCCCCAGAACTGGAAGCAGCCATTTCTCCAAGGAGCCCTGGTTCCTTTTAATAAGAAACAGTTCCTTCTAATGAGCCCTGGTTCCTTTGAATGAAAAGCCACACTAGGGGTGTTCCTTGATAACTGGGCTCTTCATTATTTCCAGATCATATTTTAGCTAAGAAATTAATACTTTTAGAGAGAAAATACATCACGTGTTCATACTGATGCTTATGACTTAAATTTAGGATTACAGGACTTTTTTTTTTTAAGATTTTTTATTCATTTGAGACAGAGAGAGAGAGAGAGAGCATGAGCAGCGGGAGAGGCAGAGGGAGAAGGAGATGCAGGCTCCCCACTGAGCCAGGAGCCCGATGTGGGGCTTGATCCCAGGACCCTGGGATCATGACCCAAGCCGAAGGCAGACGCTCAACCATCTGAGCCACCCAGGTGCCCCAGGACTTTTCATTTCTGATTTTATATATATATATATATATTTTTTTTTTTTTGAGAGAGAGGGAGAGAGGTAGCATGCGCACGGTGGGGGGAGGGGTGGAGGGAAAGGGAGAGAGAGAATCTCAAGCAGGCTCCATGCCCAGCCCAGAGCCTGATGCAGGGCTCCATCTCCAAAATCAAGAGTTGGACGTGTGACCGACTGAGCCACCCAGGTGCCCCTGATTTTATATTTTTATATCTTGTTTCTTATGCTGGAAATCCTAGATTCTAGCAACCATAACATAATAATTCTAGCAACCTTAACATAATAACGTAATAATTCAGAATAGCCATACCAATGCCATTACTAACAACATAATTGCTGAAAACAGCAAGATTTCTTTACAGTCCTTTTTTGTTCTTAGACTATATCCCACTAAAGATGTACATTCAATTACTGGTTTTTTCCTCACTACTGTGAAAAAAGTCACTTAAAATAAAATCACCTAATTAAAGTCACCTCGTTCAAGACTTAAAATAAGACCTCTCTGTGTAAGTAAGCTACCAACCTGATAATTAGGTTCACTTGTTTCACTTTGCCTTTGATTTTTTTTTTTTTAAGATTTTATTTATTTATTTGACAGTGAGAGACACAGTGAGAGAGGGAACACAAGCAGGGGGAGTGGGAGAGGGAGAAGCAGGCTTCCCGCCGAGCAGGGAGCCCGATGCGGGGCTCGATCCCAGGACCCTGGGATCACGACCTGAGCCGAAGGCAGACGCTTAACGACTGAGCCACCCAGGCGCCCCTTGCCTTTGATTTTTAAGGACTGTGTTCTTATTTTGAATAAAATCTTGTTTTATAATTGCATATAACATATATACAATTCCAAAGCCAAATATACAGTATTTGTACATTGTATTGTGTATTGTTCATTTAAAGTCAGTCATAGGAAAAAGAAGAAGAGGGAAATTGCAAAGCTCCTCTGGTCAATACAGACAACGGACAAAGAGTTGTACCTTCATTTTTAAAACAGAAATGTCAAATGAAATGTTATTACTTGGGCTATATATAATTAAGCAAAGCTACCTATTAATTTTTTTTTAATTTTAAAGATGCCACCTTTTTTAAAGATTTTTTTTTTTTACAGCATATGATTACATTTTTCTGAAACCCAGATGACTTTAAAGAGTCCTTTGTTACAAATAACATTTGCAGCCCAAATCAGAGCCTGAGGAGAGGCCCACATTTTCTCTGAATAGGCTCTTGGAAATGGCTTTCTGCTGTTCTCAGGAGAGTGTCTGCTTTTCCAAACTTTCAGGGGAAGAGGGAACACCTCCTTCTTTTCTTTCTGAGATTCTCTTCACTAGAAGTTGTCAATAAGGAGGCTCTCCATGCTCAAGGCCAAGCCCCGGAATCCCATTAGACAGCAGCGAGTGAAAAGAGAAGGCCTGGGAACGCCAACTCAGAATGTGGAAAGGAAAAGAGCACTGAGAACTTTTCCGATTCTGCTCCCGGAGCTCACAAGGGGCCGAGGCCGAGGTACCTCACCTTCCCCAGCTACCCGCCCGGCTCTTATCTTCTTCACCCAAGCAGGCTCCTCTGGAAGCTCTTTTGACTTTGGTCCTTCTCCAAAATCGGCTCCGAATTCAGAAAAGAAACCGTGGGATGTCTTGCATTCATGTCTTCTTTGGTGCACCCTCAAAGTTGGGGCACAACTTTGAGGCACCAAAGGGTCTGTCTGCTCATCCTGTTTCCAGAACCCATGGCTCGGCACACACAGAGGGGATGCCAGGATTCACTGGGTGTAGTTGGCAGGTCCCCAAATTTCCCAGTGGACCAAAATAATCTTATAAGAGCTTCCCTATTGTCAGACCCAGAATGTGGGAAAAGCTGTCAAGCAGAAGCTCTTCCTCCTCCTTGGGGGGCTTTGTACATATTCTGGTCAGTTTTATTCAGATTCTTATTTGTGTACTTAGCCATCGAGTGTACCTCCTCACAGTGGCCGAAGGCATGCCAATGACAAAGGCTGACAGAATCACTATCAACAAAAGGACTTCCTTAGCTGATACTCTTGGAATGTCCTTTATTATGAATAGTGACCAGGGCATGGATATTGCTGGCCCAATTATAAAGCCTTCTAGATTTAACAATACTTATACGAAACCCAGTCCAAAGTACTGCTGGTGTCCCAAGCTGGGGAATGATCAGCTGGCCAACTCCTCCTCCCACAACTAAAGTTAAAGAGTTTCCAGAAGTTTGTCTAGACTGAGGAATGTCCATCAACTTGATTCCCAGGCAATCCCCAGATGGTTGCCCAGGCCGGGAAAGGGCGGGCAAGATCTGATACAGCCCAGTCCCTGCCCGGTGGTCATCAAAATGTGACGCAGGAGGGAAAGAGCCAAGCAGGTGAATTCGCCTTCCAGACAATTCTTGTTGTCCAGGTTGAAGAATGGCTGCAGGGAGAATCCCACTGCATTTCCTCTGGGAGGTTTCCAAAAGGTTGTTTCGTTAGGCACCAGCCAGAGGGAAGCCTCTCCCCCATCCTGTTAGCATTCCTAAGAAGAATGTGCAAGCCCTAAAGCCAAGAAAATGTCCTCCTATCCCAGCTTTCTTGACCGGAAAGAGTCAATGTGCAGGTAAAAGACCATCTTTTTAGATTTCTCCAAAAGACTACTGAGTAAATTTAAAAAATTAAAAATATGTTATGGGATTTATAAGTAATAGTAAAGCACATGATACCAAGAGCAAATCCCCAAAGTTAAAAATGGAGTTGTATGTGGCAACATTCTTACATTGTACGTGAAGTATTATAGACTTAATCTATGTTACAATAAATGAAGGATGCATATTGTGATTTCTAGAGCAATCACAAAAAAAAAAGAGAGAGGCATAACTAGGCAGAGGGGGTAAAATGGAATGCTAAGAGATCACACACAGCTAACTTATTTTCTTTGGCCAATGAAATCTGAGTACGTATGCTGTGTGTCACTTCTGGGGAGAAGCATTTCGGAGCCAGGACTTGACTCTCCATATTCCTGTTCCTTCCTTTCGTTGAGATGGCAGACTCCTAAGATGGTGTGCAGCGATTATGTGGGACAGTGCAGCCCCTCCCAAACCACACACACGATGACAATCACTAGACACGCACCATAAGAAATAAACCGTGCGTTAAGGCTCTGAGATTTTTGGTAGTTGGTGGCTACACTTGCATTCCTGGAATAAAATCCATTTGGTCACCATGTATTATCTTTTCATGTGCTGGTGGTTTCTTCTTCTTCTTCTATGATTTTATTTATTGGGCGTCTGGATGGCTCAGTCAAACATCTGCCTTCGGCTCAGGTCATGATCCCAGGGTCCTGGGATCGAGCCCCAGGTCAGGCTCCCTGCTCAGTGTGGAGTCTCCTTGTCCTCTCTCTGCCCCTCTCCCCAGCTCATGCTTTCTCTCTCAAATAAATAAAATCCAAAAAAAATAAAGATTTTATTTGAGAGAGAGAGAGAGATAGAGCATGAGTAGGAGGAAGGGCAGAGGGAGAAGCAGACTCCCTGCCGAGCAGGGAACCCAAAGTGGGGCACTCTCCCAGGACCCTGAGATCATGACCTGAGCAGAAGGCAGCCTTCCAACAGACTGAGCCACCCAGGCGCCCCTAGTGGATTCTGTTTGTAAATAATTGACTTGTGTTTACTTCATTGATATTTTAGGTAAGATTGGGCTATCTATAATTTTGTGTGTGTGCAATCTACCAGATTTTGATAGCAGTCATGCATAAAAATAGTTTAGAGGATTTCTTTTGTTTTTTGCGCTCTGAAAAAGTTTAAGGGACATTGGAAGTATCCAGTCTTTAAAGGCTAATAGAATTCTGTGAACTTAACTGGACCTGGAGCTTTTTTGAGGGGGCAGCTCTGTGACAATGGTCTTTAGTTTCTGTATGGAAATGGGTCTATTTGGACCTTATATATCCCTATTAGGGGCAGTTCTGGTGAATTCCATTTTCCTAAAAAAATGACGATTTTTGTCCATATTTTTCAAATGTATTTGCAAAGAATTGTACAAAGTAATTATGATTTTTATTTTAATAATTATTTCCTTATTATTTCGTGTATTCTTTCTAGTAGTTTTAAATTGTTGTTGGTCTTTTTCTAGCAGGTTTTCTAGTATTCCTTAAATTTTGTTTTGTTTTTTTTCCCACATAAACTTATTTTACCATTTTTGTTTTTTCATTATTCAATTTCTTTGGTCAACTTAGTAGTATTAAATTACACAGAGTGCTGTTAGAAAGTCCGATGACATCTAATTTTTCTTGACAGTGCAAGCCATTGTGTCTTCCTGCCTAGAGGCCCAGAGGATTTATTTACCTAGGATTTTCTCAGAGTTTACTCTTCTGAATCCTTCTTCCCAAGCTCACACAAAGCGTGTCTTTACAGTACTTGTATTCGAGCATTTCCTCTTTGGGGGAAAGTATTACCGAATTACCATTTTTAATATGAATTTTTGTTCCATTGTCTTTCTTCTTCCTTTACAATATAAAATTCAGTATGTCGAATTTTCTTCAACTACATTCAACTTGATTAGATTTCCTTTGCCTCTTTTCCTTATCTGTAACTTTCTCTTATTTTCATTTGGTTTTTCCTTTTTTTCTTTCCAGTCGAATATATCTCCTTTGTGCATCTTGGATTTAGGTTTCCGAGATTTTTCTTTTACATTCAGTTCGTACCTGGGTCCCGTCAGTTTCCATTTCACGTCCTCTTGGTCCTTTCTACTTAAAGCTTTTCATTTGTTTCGCGATGTCCTCACAGCTGCATTTGCTTGTCTAATTATTTTAATTCCTGTTGGAATGCTGCATTACAATTTCCTTCTGGCTTTTTTTCCCCGTGTGTTTTCTGCTCACAAGTTCGACTTTGAATTTTCTGGTTTTGTTTTTTTCTTGCAGTATCCCCATTAGGGAGCTGGTTTATTAATGTTCATATTTGGGCATGTTAGATTTACCTGAGCAACTATTAGCAGGAGGATATGGGTGAGGAACAGGGCAGGGAGAGGGGTTCGGTGGGTCTCCACGTCTCTCAGGGGCGCCCCCTCCTGGTGCTGCAGCAAGGCAGATTCTCCAGTATTAAGCACCTTTGCGTGTCAAGCTTCCTCTGATCCTCTGTTGCTGTAATAAGTCTCCAGGTGCCAGCCCCTTCCACGCTTCCCCCTATACCACCTCGGACAATCTGGGGGCCTCCCTCATCCCCAGAAGGGGCGCCTCTCCAGGACCCTCAGCTCTGGTCCTGCGCACTTTCCAAACCCCTCCTCTCTACTCCTTATCTGGGGATAGGCCTTTGTTATCTAGGTCCTGCTATTTGCTAGGACTCCTCCATCTTGTGGGCAAGTTATCTGCTTCTTTATGGCTTAAAAGCTTCCCAACCATACCCAGAAACCTTCCCAGATTTAACCTGGACATCGGTGTCTGTAACAAATGACCACAAACATGGTACCTAACGCAACAGAAATTTATTCTCTCACAGTTCTGGATACCAAATCAAGGTGTCATCAGGCCATATTCGCTATGACGGCTCTAGGGGAGAATCCTTCCTGGCCTCTTCCAGCTTCTGGTGGCTCCTAGTGTTCCTGGCTTGTGGCTGCCCTCCTCCAGTCTCTGCCTCTGTCTTCACATGGCCTTCTTCCCAGTGTCATTTCTTTTATAAGGACATCAGTCACTGGCTTGAGGGCCCACCCTAAATCCAGGCTGATCTCATGTCCAGGTCCTTAATTCCAACTGCAAAGAGCCTATTTCCAAATAAGCAGACACTGGGTTACGACATGGACATGTCATTTTGGGGGGACACAATTCAACCCACTGCATCACCTTGAATTTCCCTATAGCACAGACTCCTCTTGACCTCATGATGATTTTGGTCAGTGAAAATGTGTGCTATGGGAAATGCCTCCTGAGCCCCTGGGATAACTGGATTCCACAGGGCTCCCTGGGCCTAGGAAAGGAAGAGGAGCCCTGATGGGCAAGGGGCAGAAGGAAGAGTGCTTGGGTCTTGGTGGCTGCTCAGACATAAGCAGAACAGGGAGAATAAAGGAGAGGACGTCATGGAAAGAAGGGAACAGAAAGGGAAGGCAGGGAGCAGGTCAGTCTACTTGAGGGATTTCCTGGGGCTTAGCAGTCCCTGTCCATCCCTAGGGCTCATCTCGGTCTGCCTCAGTGCCTACTTGTGGTTACCACTCTGGCCTTGATTTTTTTTGTATTCATTTCTGATTTCTATGATTTTCTATGATCGCTATGATTTTCTGTCAGGCTCAGCATCACAACTTTTTGTTTAGTTATTGCCTAACTTTGTAGCAGGTTGGGGGCAGGGGCTCTTCTAGATCAGAAGTCTGCTATGTTGGTGGAAATCCTTAGGTGATTTATCTCATTTAATCCTCCTACAGGGTAAAAGAAATGATCATTCCCATTTCCTAAATAAAGGAATAACTATCACGCTATTCTCCTTATTTCATACTATTTTTTATTTTTCCTAACAAATCCCTGTTTAATACAGAGTTAATGACATTTTTATTTGTAACCTAAAATTTTCGTTGGAAAAATGCTAGTTGCTATAACAGATAAGGCCTAAGAGCTCTGCAGCTTAACACAGTGAGAGTTTACTTCCTCACAGGGGGAGGAATTTATAGAGCCTCTGTTCCAGGTAGTCACTTAGGGACCTGGTTTCCTCCACTTAGTGGCTCTGCACTCCTCATGAGCCTTAGATGGTGCCCCATTCAGCCATCAGGGAAGGAGGAAAGAGAGGTTTATAGAAGCCAGCCCTGGAAATGATGGGTGTCCTTCTGCCCATATTCCACCAGCCAGAACGCAGACGGCCACGAGAACAACCGCACGGGAGGCTGGGAAATGATGCTCTGTTGCTGTAATAAGTCTCCAGGTGCCAGCCCCTTCCATGCTTCCCTCTATAACACCTCAGACAACCTGGGGGCCTCCCTCATCCCCAGAAGGGGTGCCTCTCCAGGACCATGGGCCCGGGAAGAAAGGAGAATGTACTTCGTACACAGCCAGGATCTCTGCTTACAGCTTTGAATCCTCTGGCATCCTAGCATTTTCTAATTTTCTTGGAACGATTTAATGGCAAAATTCTTATTATAATGATAGATGTCACTTTATTCACTTAGTCCCTTAGGTAGGCATAAAATGATCTTTGCGTATTATATTTGTATGAATCTGGTTTCTCCGTTTCTTGGGTTAGCCTCGTCTGCACATCTTTGAACACTTACTGCACTCTTGCTTCACTCTCTTTTTACATTCTTTGTTGGTTCCTTTGACAAAACTGCTTATTTCCAGAGTTGCCATGAGGAGGCAGCGGCAGTGTAAGCAGGCAGCAGCCGGGGTACCCAGAGACGGGGGGCCCCCGTCACTCTTTGTGGCCACCCAATCTTGAGAGCTGCCCTAACTCAAATCCAGAGCTGGGGGGTCCTAGAGACCCAGGCAGTCCCTTCCCCAGGCTATCTCCTCCTGCCACAAGAGCACAGGAGCCCTAAGCTGGGCTACAGGAGTCTGTTTCTTCACAGCTGCCCCTAGAACATTCAGCTGCAGTCATGCCCACCTCTCCAGGAAAAAACCACGGCAGGGTCGGAGGGGAACATCAGATGCCTCAGTATGGCTGAGAGGAAGTCCTCAGTGTGGACTCTCGATCTGTTCCTCTCAACAGAGTGGACAGACTACCCTCAAATATTCTCTGGTCACAGATCTAGCCGTCCATTAAAAATCCACTGTGGATACTCCACACTGAACGGAATACTTCCTGCTCTTGGGAACACTTTAGTTTAGAGGAGACCATCCTGGGGGAGAGACAAAGCCCAAGGCACATGGTGAGTGCTCTGCAAGGGGTCTGTGCAAGGGAGGGAGGAACAGCCTCCCTGAGGGAGAGCCACCATAACCCCTAAGGCGGCTGTGGAAGGTCATGGCAGGCTTAATGTGAGGGGCGAGGGATGAAACTAGAGAGCCCAAGGCTCAGCCCCTCAGCCTGCCCAGCCCCACATCTCCTCTGTTCCAGTCTACGGAAACCCTGAGCAGGCCCAGCTACGTAACTATGTCTGGGTTTACCTGCCCACCCGGGGTCTCCCAGCAGGGCTCAGCCTCCATGGTCGTGCTGAGCTCACCACTGTCGCTCAGGCTGTTGAAACCGCTGACTATGGGAGAGAGACCCCCAGGCCTACTAGCAGTTGGCGTCCTTCTTCCCGGGAACAGGATATGAAAACCTCCCTCACCTTCTTGGCAACTATCCTTTCTTCACAGCTCATGCTTATCACCATCTCCTCAGTCCTCGGGCTCTGGGAGGCCCTGGGTCGGCCCAAGTCTTCTTCTGTCTCCACCATCACCGCTGTCTGCTCCAGATCTTGAGTTCCTGAGCCCTGAGGGCTGCGGATCCAGGCGATCGCCCCAGAGCCAACGGGTTCTGAGGCGGCCTCATGAGAGGGATGGGCTAGAGGCTCCCTGGGATTTAAGTGGATAGATTCTGTGACAGAACACTAGCGTCTCAGGGGCCTCTGGGCTCAACTACCAGAGATGTTGCAGAGTTAAAGTTCACACCGAGCAACCTCTATAAAAGAGAGGGGACATTTGGCCATTGAAGATGAAGCTGCAAGGGTAGAGGGAATGTAAGGTTACGGCAAAACTGAGGCGGCTACAGGATTCAACTTTTCCAGACTCTCTTTCTTCTGAAAGGTTGAGAAAGTTAAGCAGCCAACAAACTTGTGGGCATAGAAAGAAAAATCTGCAGGAAGGCCTCATACGGTGCAAAAGTTTCCAGCACAGAAAGTATGAACAAAAATTAGGCTAAGGTGGGCGCCTGGGTGGCTCAGTTGGTTAAGCGACTGCCTTCGGCTCAGGTCATGATCCCAGGGTCCTGGGATCAAGTCCCACATCGGGCTCCCGGCTCAGCGGGGAGCCTGCTTCTCCCTCTGACCCTCTCCTGTCTCATGCTGTTTCTCTCTTGCTCGCTCTCTAATAAATAAATAAAATCTTAAAAAAAAAAAAAAATTAGGCTAAGGCCTCATTTCTGCCCATTCAGAAGTGGGCACAAAGGAGGTCCCTGATGGAGAAACTCGATGCAGTTTGGTTCCCCTTTTTGGGCCCTTTTTACTTATTTTAAGAGGAAATAATAGGAGGATAACATTTCCAGCTCCTGAGATCTCGTGGGTGATTACTTTTGTTATCTTTACTTTATACACATGTATAGAGTGTGTATAAAGTACACTCTACCTTTTCTTTTTTTTTTTTTTAAGATTTTATTTATTTATTTTGACAGGGAGAGAGACAGTGAGAGAGTGAACACAAGCAGAGGGAGTGGGAGAGGGAGAAGCAGGCTTCCTGCTGAGCAGGGAGCCCGATACGGGGCTCGATCCCAGGACCCCGGGATCATGACCTGAGCCGAAGGCAGACGCTTAATGACTGAGCCACCCAGGCGCCCCTACCTTTTCTTTATACACATGTGAAAGGCCTCCACCTGCTGGGCATTCACACAATTTCTGAGTAAAGTCAGAAAAATATCTACACGGACAATATAAATTTTGAAGGATTTTTTTTAAAGGATTTTTTAAATGAAGAAATAAACCCTTAACGTTTTGTACATCCCCGTCCTCCATTCAATCTTCATTTACTGCTGCGGGAAGCTGATACCACAGCTCGTCCATGGTTCAGCAAAGACCAGAAAGTCACTTAAAGTCTCTTCACTGCAGAAGCCCTCAAGTGAATGCAGTTCAAAAGGGTAATTTCCAGTGTCCCTTAACTGTTCTCCCCAGGAGAAATCCACCCTGCAGCCCAGCGCCACCAGCAGGCTCAGGCCGCACCCAGCTAGCACAGCATCCGTCTGTCACACTGGCCACCGCGGTCCCGGGTCCCAGAGGGCGCCCACTAGGCTTGCTCACCAGCACTGCCTCCGCTGGCCCCCGAGCCTCTGCCAGGGGCCTGCGCGTCTGAGAAGCGTGAGGCCTGCTTGGGCAGGCGGATGGGGACGTAGATGTTGGATGCACAGTGCTCCTTGAGGTACTCTCCTCCTTTCTCTTCATACTCTTTCCTGGTGATCCAGACTTCATCATCGTCCAGGTGGTCCAAGGCCCAGTCCCGAGCACCATACCAGGCGTCCAGCACGGGGTTGGAAGCAAGCTGAACCTGAAACACAAAGAGCACTCAGCAGAGGGCCATCTCCCCCTCAGGGCTCGAGGAGTGACCGTTCAGCAGACCCAGCCGCAGCCCCCTCCCTACGTGGTATCCCCAGAAATACACACGCGGGAGGGCCCTGGTGCATAACTGTCTGCATCCTCCAAATACAGCTGAGCTGAGATGCTGCAGACTCTCCAAGAGAGCACACAGAATGCAGAGCACACCAGACTCGACCTCACAGAATCAACAGCTGCCGGCTGTTTCGTGAACACCCACCTGCCACTATGGGCCAGAGAGGGCCCAGCTGGCCCCCTCCTGTTCCAACGCTGTCGACCACAAGCTGCCAGATGGAGAGAGGAAGCAGAGCAGGCACTCCACCTGGAGGAAAGGCCTTCCCATCCTGACGCCCACTCTGTGAGCAGCGAGAAGCAGGGGCTGATACGAGGTGGGTCTCGCTATGGTGACCAATGAGCCTCAGGAGCAGAGAGCAGAGAGAAGGGCCTGGGGTGTTGTCCAGGACGTTGCCAGTGCTGTTTCCACTGCTTATTATTGGAGCAATCCCGTGGTCAGCAGCCCCAGGGGAGCCCCTCAACCCCGCTGACCTGATCAGAGCGGGGAACATCCTCTGTAGCTCAAACCAGGCTTCCTGTTTCCCAGAGTCGCCACCTGCTTTCCCACCTCCCTCCTACCTCCCTCCCCCAACCACAGGAGCTCCAGGTTGGAGTGGTGGTTTCAGAACTTTCCGAAGTAACAGGCAGGCGACATAAAGTGGACTCAGCATGCACAGATGGAAGAGGAAGAAACAGAGAAACACAAAAGTCAGGAGACTGACTGGGCTGATGTGGGAGGGACTTGTAAGAAGGGACTGTCAATAAATTAGGATAACAAGAGCCCCTAAGCTCTGGCTAGAGCCAGACAGAATGAGTGTAAGGCAGTGGGATACTCCTGGCACAGACTAAATAGTCAATAAATGGTAGCTAGCATCATTAGTACTGAAAAAGCAGTAAGATACATGGACTACAACAATGGAACACTATACAGCCATAGAAAGATGACTTGGACATGTACCTACTGGCACAGAAAGACAATAATATGAAAAGTAAAAAAAACAAACAAACAAAACAGGAAAACAGGTCACAAAACAAGCCATCAACAATCTTTCTTTTTTTTTAGTTTATTAAAATCAAATGCAAGAGAAGAAAATGAATCAAAAGTATATATATAACTCACAGTGGCTGAACCACAAGTGTTTTGGTTTTTTCTATCCTCATTTTGGTTTGTTTAAACTGTCTGAGATTTTAGTAATGTTTTTAAATGTTTTGCTGGGGTTTTTTTGAGCTTATATTGAGTTTATTCTTCATTTCACTTTTAAAACACTATTATAATTGAATATTAAAATGTTTTGCTGTTTAAATAAGAAGCCAACAGAAACTTAAAGAATGTACATGTACACATCTCAGGGTCTTAAATTGTTTTCGTTTGAGCCACTGAATACATAACCTAAATGCTGAGTATCAGGGGTTAATTCTGGCCTGACACAACACTTACCACATCCGCAGCTGAAAAGGAGCAGCGGAGGTGGAAGGGACGGAAGCTGAGGCTGTGCCCCACGAGGATGAACCAGCTAAAAGAGAGCTGGGAAGAGCAATCTGGCAGCATTCCTACAGCTAATATTCACAAAGTAATTCACGGGAAAGGCTTTTGCGATGATCAAGAAATAGATCTTAAACATTTGATAATAGTTATGTCATCACAAGTCAAGCCCGCCAGCGCATACCTGTGCTCTCCTTCTGTACCGTCACCCCACCCCCACTCCCCAGTCTAGCCCTCCTCCTGCCTCTCCCACCACCTCTTTCTCAGCCTCCTTCATGGGCACCCCCACCCTCCCAAAGGCCCTTAAATGCTGCTGTTATGTAAGGCCTAATGGACATCACCTATCCTCCAAACAGTGCCCACTAATAACACAGTTATGCTAGGGGATCCGAGTCCACCCTTCTGCCTTTCTCTGGAGCACTCGGCAGCTGGCTAGGAGTCACCGCTTCCTGGGCATCCCACTGGAAACCCAACTCAACCCACCCCAGAAGTGGAACTCATTCTCCACCCTCAAGCCCGCTCTTCCTCTCCCATTTCCTAGTCCAGGGAATGTCATATTTGTCCCACCAGTTGCCCAACCTAGGACTTGGGAATTGTCTTGGGTCCCACACTTCTCTCCCCATATCCAACCTGTTACTCAGTTCTCACAACTTCACTCCCTTAATCTCTGCCACATGAGCTCCCTTCTGTCCTCTCCCAATGCCTACTGCTTATATCCTGCATAGCCACCCAGAGACATTGAGCCAAGATCTGGGGAACAACAATTCACAAAACAGTCCATCCTTCCCTAATAGAGGTGGGTCTAGTAAGGAATACAGGTTAAGGACAGGGAAGGCTTCTGGCAGATGTGACATCCAAGCCAGCCATGAGAGACATGAGTATTGAGCTGGGAAGGGTATTCCAAAGGGAACCAGCAGGTGCAAACACCCTGAGGCGAGAAAACATGGCATACTGGGGAACAAAGTACAGGGTGGAAGGGGGAGTGATGAGAGGTAATGCTGGAGTAATTCAAGGTCAGATCACAGGAGACACTGCAAACTGGTAGGAGGACTCAATCCTAAAGCCTCTGAGCTGCCTCCTAACTGGCCTCCTGCTTCCGGGATTTCTCCTGATACCCCATTTTCCACAACAGTCAAAAATAGCTTCCTAATATTCAAACTGAATGAAACGATTCCCCTGCTTAGACTCCCTCACAGTCCGGTGGGCTTAACAGTAACAACAGCTGTGTAGAAAAGAGTTAACCCGCAGGCCTGACTGCTTACAAGGCTGTCCTTGGCTGGCACCTGCGAACTTGGACTTCTGGCAGGCCTCCACCACTGACTGGTAAGAGTAGATACTGTTCCTGACGTTTGAACAAATAATGTAGTTTATGCTGAACACCTGCTTCCTTCTGGGAGTCTGGAATTTGGGTAAGTGCCAGGCAGGGGGTGCCTACATGATCGGCTCCCAATAAAACCCTGGGCACTGAGTCTCTAACGAGCTTCCCTGGTTGGTGACATTTCACATGTGTTGTCACAGCTCACTGCTGGGAGAATTCAACGTGCTCTGTGAGACTCCACTGGGTGAGGACTCTGGGAGCTCATACCTGCTTTCCCCTGGACGTCACCCCATGCACCTCTTCCCTGTGCTAATTTTGCTTTGTTTCCTTTCAAATCGTAGCCATGAGGAGGATTATATGTGAGCGTGATATGCGATTATATCATATGTATGTATGATTCCTGTGAGTCCTCCCAGCAAATCATGGAACCTGGGGTGATCCTAGGGACCCCTCCCCCCATACAACAGCTAACGTCGAAGTGTTCATTTTGTGCAGGCCCTATGCTGAGCACTTCATTGTACTAGTGAATCCTGGTAACAGGAGTTCTGATTACCCCTTTGCACCACTGACAAAACGAAGGCTTGGCAAGATTCAGTAACAGCGGTGATAGAATGAGGCCCAGAGCCCGTGCCGTGCACGTGTAACACGTCATGCAGCTCAGGGGACCGAGGCCAGCCTCTCCGCAGGACCTGCAGGGCCTACTGACCTCTCCACTGCAACCCCCTCCACTCCTCTACAGCAACCCTGTGCTCCAGCCACACTCAACTGCAGCTCACTCGCTCAGCAGGCTTCTGGACCCTGAGCCTTTGCTCATGCTAATCCCTCTCTGGAATGCTCCCTCCATCCCACCCCGCTCCACAATGTCTAGATGGCACACACATCCTCATCTGAGGAAGACTCACTTCCACAAAGCCCTTCCTAAATTCCAGGACGTCCTGGAAATTCCTAAATGCCTGGACGTCCATCACATTCTGGGCTATCACAGCCTATTTAATCAGCTGCTGCCCCTCAGGGAGCAAGTTCCTTGCAGCTAGGGGTTGTGTCTAGGACATCTCGGCATCTGCGAGGTGCCCGGTCCTCGACAGGGGCTGAGACCATGTTTCTTAGAGATCAAATGGATTCAGTAGATATACTATGGGGCATCCACACCATACGGAAGAAAAAAAAGTATTTTGGAAGAATGACATGGGAAGAAATGCAGGTTACAAGGCAGGTTACACTCATGTACAGAGAATCTGTGCAAGTGAAGCTTTGCTCTTAGAATGAGGGGCGGGTAAAGAGAATGACTACTCTCCGTGTGTACTCCTTGTATTCCCTGAATATTATTAGATTCGTGTCTTTTTCCAGTTTAAAAAAAAAAAAAAAAAAACAGAGAAATACATAAAACATGATTTCCATTCTGCTTCAAAAATTCAACACATATCATGAAAATAGAGCTACCATATGATCCAGCAATTGCACTACTGGGTATTTACCCCAAAGATACAAAAGTAGGGATCCGAAGGGCTACGTGCACCCCGATGTTTATAGCAGCAATGTCCACAATAGCCAAACTGTGGAAAGAGCCAAGATGTCCATCGACAGATGAATGGATAAAGAAGATGTGGTATATATATACAATGGACTATTATGCAGCCATCAAAAGGAATGAGATCTTGCCATTTGCAACGACGTGGATGGAACTGGAGGGTATTATGTTGAGTGAAATAAGTCAAACAGAGAAAGACATGTATCATATGATCTCACTGATATGAGGAATTCTTAATCGCAGGAAACAAACTGAGTGTTGTTGGAGTGGGGGGTGGGGTGGGAGGGATGGGGGGACTGGGTGATAGACACTGGGGAGTGTATGTGCTCTGGTAAGCGCTGTGAATTGTGCAAGACTGTTGAATCTCAGATCTGTACCTCTGAAACAAATAATGCAATATATGTTAAGAAAAAAAAAAAAAAGAAGAAGAAGAAGAAGGTAGCGGGAGGGGAAGAATGAAGCGGGGGAAATCGGAGGGGTAGACGAACCATGAGAGACGATGGACTCTGAAAAACAAACAGGGTTCTAGAGGGGAGGGGGGTGGGAGGATGGGTTAGCCTGGTGGTGGGTATTTAGGAGGGCACATTCTGCATGGAGCACTGGGTGTTGTGCACAAACAATGAATCATGGAACACTTCATCTAAAACTAATGTTGTAATGTAAGGGGATTAACATAAGAATAAAAAAATTAAAAAAAAAAAAAAAAAAAAAATTCAACACATATCAAAGACCAGAAGAAAAGCCCCCAAAATGTTAACAGTGGATATTTCTGGATGATGGAACTAAAAAGTTCCTCTTTGCCCTCCTCTATGCCATATTTATGACTTTTGCAATCAGAAAACGAATACTGAATAATCTTACACAACAGCTGGTTATGTGAATAAGCAGTACCTTAAAAGCAGACTGGAAGGGCCTCATCTCCAACAGCTCCTTCTCGATTCTACCTTTCATCCCAGGGTACATCATGTTTCCACCGGTGAGGAAAACATTCTGAACCAGCAGGTCCTGAATGTCCTTTGAGTACCTAGGAGGGAGTAGATTCCTTTTGGCATAGTCCTACCAACGTAGGATCAAAGGAGAATGCTGATGTAGAAACGTAAGGTCTTGGCACAAAACAGAAAACATCTGCACAAAGAGTGTTTTTAAAAAAACTTCCAGGAGGGGCGCTGGGTGGCTCAGTTGGTTAAGCGACTGCCTTCAGCTCAGGTCATGATCCTGGAGTCCCGGTATCGAGTCCCGCATTGGGCTCCCTGCTCAGCGGGAAGCCTGCTTCCCCGTCTGACCCTCCCCCCTCTCATGCTCTCTCTATCTCATTCTCTCTCTCAAATAAATAAAATCTTAAAAAATAAAAAAATTAAAACAATTAAAAAACTTCCAGGGTACCTGGGTGGCTCAGCCAGGAAGTGTCCAACTCTTGATTTCAACTCAGGTCACGATCTCAGGGTTGTGAGACCGAGCCCCACGTCGGGCTCCATGAGATTCTCTCTCCCTCTCCCTCTGCCCCTCCCCACCCTCTAAAATAAATTAAAAAAAAAACACAAAACTTCCATTTTTCACTTATGACTTTACAGAATTCATTTCCTTAGTAAGATTAGAAGTTTTGTGTCTTTTAACACACTTTTTTAAAAAACTGACTTTATGGAGGACTGATTTCCAAACATTTTGATGAAGTCTGACAAATGTATACCCCCCAGTAACCATCACCACAATCAAGAAACAGAACATTTCCAACACCCCAAAAAGTCCTGCCTCCCTTCTGCTGGCCCACCTTTTCACCTGCGTGGGTTTTTTTTTTTCCTTTTTTTGTTTCTTAAATAACAGCTTTATCTTACACATGTTTGAGCACTTTCCCATTAAGACAAAGCTCAAAGCCACTCATACACATTGGCCGCAGTAGCTTTTCTTCCTTGCTAGGTGCCAGTTTTCATCCTGTTTCAACCAACAGCAGCCAGAAAACTACAAATCATGCTCTCCACTTGTCCAGCTTGAATTAGGACAATTTCACACTGCAGGAAAATGCCTGTATAAATGGGATGGGGGAAGAGCATTTTATGGAAGTGCAAACTTAAATAAAATGTCTGCGAGGAGGAAAAAAAACTTTTATAAGCTCTGCACGTTTTTAGGGAACTTAAAAATCACCAGTCTTCAATAATGTCAAGGTTTATATGAAAGCCAATGCACATATATTGTTGTGCTGCTTAAACGTCAAAGAATTTCTTAAAGCTCCTCAAATCAACTGAGCATTTACATTTTTAGAAAAGAATTACAGAGCCTCTGCAATGTGCCGGGGTTGGGGAGAGATGAAGAATACTATCTGAGCACAGCAAGTCAATAAAAAGGAGGGCGTGAGGCAGATTTTCAAATGCCCACCTCATCTACTACTCAGTGCGAAATCTGAGGAAACGGTTCCGGAAAATCGAAGGAAAAGAAGGTTCAGTCTCACCTGTCCAGGATGTACTGAAGGGTCTCTGCTATCCCAGCCTGCTCCTCCCCTATGAGGGATGGCTGGAAGATAATTTCTGGAGCTCGAATTCTTTCTGTCCCGACAAACAGCTGATGATAGGCTGCCAAGTTAAACACGGGCTTTAAAAACCCAAGGTTTAGAAGATATTTTTAGGCCACAGTGACAAACATTCCAGTTGCCAGTTCCCTCAAACTGTATTTCTTATGCCAACATAGCTTCTGTCCTTCGTTCCTGCCAGAATAACCTCTCTCCAACTCTCCTGATAGGATAATTCCATTACCTGCCTTTCTCCCACCTCTGTATTACAAATACCTTCACCTTTGCATCACGAAATGGTCCCCGCATCGCAGGGAAAGAGCTCATGAAGAGAGGTAGCAGGAAGGCCCGGCACTGGCCGGCCAAGCCTCCTACCACCACCCTGCTCAGCAGCCTGGTCCCCGCGCGGCCGAGAAAGTGCTCTCCCAGGTGAGCCCCAGACTCAGGTCAGTCTGTCTGGTGGCCATTTGCCCTGACAGATACATAGGCCCAAATGAGGATTAAGCACAATTACACTGGCTTAAATTTAAATGAAACCACTAAAGCTAGGCTTCAGGTCTAAAGTCCTCAATTACTTGCCTAAACATTTCTACCAAGGCGGACTGTTTCCCACAGGGTCACAATCTTAGTGCTAGAACCCCAATCAATCAGTAGGAAAAGCCCTGACTTCAGATGTTTTAGTGTTAGTACCCTAGCCCCCAACCTTTCTAGAAAATACAACTAGAATTTTTTTTTTTCTTTTTGCAAAAATATTCCTGAAGAAGCAAACTAGGGCAGACTGGTCTTTTATGTCAAAGGTTTCAAAGCAGAAGCATGGTGCAGGCTACAGGGGCCCAACCTGGACAGTGGTGACTGGCTTCTCCGCTTCAGGGGTTTCCTCTGAAAACAAGGGTTCAAAATCATGGATGCTTTCCACATCTTCCAGAGACGGCTCTAGCTGCTCCAGGTCAGGGGTCTAAGAACAGAAGAAACAGAACAAAACAGCACCTGTAGCTTCAGGAGGCCTTCACTCTATCAGTTCACGGTCACAAACAAGAATTGGTGTTTCGCTCAATGTCCTGGAAGTTTATATAGAAACTATGAAAAATTTTCTAAACTATTAAAAAGAATAAGTTAAGACATGTGAACACAAGGATTAAAAGCCTAAAAAGCCAGGCATGGGCTTTGCTCCTGTCCCCTCCCCCTCACACAAACCTCAACAACTCCCATCTCCTCTCTGAAGCCCTCCGGCGGGCCCGGAGCGGGGGGCGGGGGGGTCATGCTGTCTGCGTTAGGCACGAGACCGCACATGCAACTCTGCAGGAGAGAGAGCAAGAGTTGTATCCTACAGAGTGGCCCAGACACCTGCAAAATTAAATAAATCTCTTAACAATTAATAAATCCAAGTGCCAACACTAATGGGCTTTAATAAGTAGTCTCTTATCGGCTGGTCCACTGGGCTGGAGACATGACTAAGAGCTCCTGAGGTGGCAGAGAGCTTCGGGACTGTGGTGCCCCGCAGAACGGGCTTTCCGCTTCAGCCACAGCGAACCTGAGTAGAACCTACACACGCTGGCACCGCTCCCAGTAGCGGACTTACGGTATATTGTGATTTTGACCCGGACAAAAGAATTTGGGCAGGGGGTGGTGTGGTTCTAGGTGACATTCTAGCCATCTGTCGTTCTGCCATGTGAAAGGCAGAGAAGTTTTACCATTTGGACTCAAGGGGAAGAAGTTACAGGAAGAAATTCTAGGCAAAACCTCTCTAACAATGACAGCTGGCGGAGAAAGGACTGTTTTATGAGAAGGCATCTTGGGAGGACACAAGCCGACTCAGTACTATCCACCTGGCATGCCCGAGGGGAGGTCCCTGCGTGGAGTATGTATCCTGAGTCTGGCCTTACCCTTGGAGTCTGTGAAGTATATAAACTACCAACATCATTCAGAGCACTTAAATACAATCTCTAGAACATAGCCACATATACTGCCAATGTAAATTAGCATTCAAACTTCCTCCTCCTCTTTTTAAAGGTTTTTTTATTTTTATTTTTAGAGAGAGAGAGAGAGACTGCACACGAGTCAGGAGGGGCAGAAGGAGAGAGAGAAAGAATCCCAAGCAAGCTCCATGCTCAGTGTGGAGCCCGATTCAGGGCTCAATCTCAGGACCCTGAGATCATGACCTGAGCTGAAATAAAGAGTCGGATGCTCAACCGACTGAGCCACCCAGGCACTCAAACTCACTCTTAAACAAGGCAGTGCCCTTCAACACTCCTCTGGCACACACACACCAGAACAGTCACATGCATATATGGCTTATAGAATGGGGGACAACGTATCCTAAATTCTGTTCAATATAGAGCATTCTACCTCTACATAAATTATAAATTTAAGGAAGGAGTAAACCCTGGAAAGGACGGGGAACATTTCTTCCTCTGAGACTAGAGAACAGGAAGAGAGGGACTGGTCTGGAAATAGGTAATTTAAGGAGGAAAGAGGGTGGGCTGGGAGGTGAGAATCCAAGGACCTTGCTCTCAGGGAAGGAGGCAAGAGCCATCGGAATACTGAACCCAATTCAAGAACAGGCAACCCACTCCTCCACAATCTTCCCTGCAGAGATGACTCCTGAGCTCCATGGGCGAGGAAATGGGCTCAACGGGGGACCAAGACTTGCCCAAGATCACATCACACTAGTAAGTGGTAGAAACCTGGCCCAAGACAGATGGCTTAGCTCCAAAGTCTTTGTGCTGCCTCAAGCTGAAATTCTATACATCGTGAGTCTGAGTGCGGCAGGACAACTCGCTCTGCAAGTATGGAAAAGAGCTCCCTGAGGTCAAGGTGAACAAGAAGAGAACAAAAGATCTACAAGCGGCAGCAAGGCCAGCTGAATGAAGCGACAGGCTTCTCTGCCCTGGCAGGGGCGGCAGGGGCGGCAGGGGCGGCAGGGGCCGCAGAACTCGTTAGAAGGAATGCTCCCCTGGAGGTGTGAGGTTTCTAATCTGGAAGACTCTCATCTCCCAGAAAGAAGCCCCAACCCTGGGAATGCCTGTGCCTGTTCTGGCTTGGCACTAAACTCCGGGGTCCCAAGAGAGGATCAGAAACGGATCGCGAAAATTCTCTCTCATTTGGTGGCTTGTCATCCGGGACGACAAGCAACCAGGAGCGGTGCGGTGTTACAGAAAGAGGCAAGGCTTAAGGGTCACATCGGTCCAGCTCTGAATGGCTCAGTCTGAGCCCACTTCCTCCTCTGTAAGTAGGGCGCACCCCTAGGGCAGTGGTGGGGTGAGAACTGAACACTTCTTCCTTCTTCTAACTAGGCACTCACTTTGGCCCCTTAGATAATTGTTACAATACCAGGCTGGTGGCACACAAATGTCACCTGTGTATTTAAAATAACTACAGGCCAAACTTGTGGGTCCTTCCCCCAAATAATAATGAGTAAAGGCAAGCCTTGGGCTCCATGGAGTTCTCTCCTACCTTCTGCTCTACCCCCCCACACACACCTCCATCTTCCTCATCTTCATCCCAACCTCCACTCCTCTAACCTCTCTGACCTCCCAGTGATGACCTCCCTTGTGCATTCACACCTTCCTCTACCCACCCCGGAGCCCAATCGCAACTGCCACCCTCCAGCCCGACCCTACCTGCTCTACCAACAAACACTCTCAAATCCTAAAGGGTGCCACCCAATGCTCTTTCCACTTCTGCGCTGGGGTAGATTGTATTTTTCAAAAACAGTCACAACGATATCTTCCATCCGACAAACTCTTCCTCAAGGGGATTCTGAGGTGTGGTTTATTTCCTCCCCTTGAATCTTAGCAGGGACCTGTGGGACTCCAACCAATAGAGTATGGTGCAAGCGGTGTCATGTGACTTCCAATGTGAGGTCATACGAGGCCACACAGTTCCCTTTACCTTGACCTCTTGAAACACTGGCTCTCTGGCTACTCTCCCTTGGGGAGCTCCCTGCTGGAAGCCAGTTGCCAAGCTGAGAAGCCCAAGGCACATGGACAGGCACGGGCTTTGCTCCTGTCTGGGTGCTCGGTGGGTGTGGGTGCTCAGGTCCACCATCTTGCTAAGCATGGCCTTTGAGTCATTCCAGCTCAGATGTTAGCAAAGTGAAAAACCATCCAGGGCTCCCAGTCCCCAGATGTCCAAGTCTTCCCAGCGGAGGCCCCAGGCATCACAGAGCAGAGATCCCTGCTACGCTCTGCCCGAATTCCTGACCCGTCAAATTCGTGAGCACAACACAATGATCATCATTTTATGCTACTAAGTTTGGAGTGCTTTTCCACATGGCAACAGGTAAGTGAAATATGCTCCTGGTGGGCGTGGGCAAGAGTGGAGAAAGAAAGTGCCAGGCTGCTGCTGGTGGGCCTATGGTCCTCTTCAGCTCCCCTGTGCATTCCCCAGAGCAGGTGTCTGCAACCCCTCCCAGCACTTCTCCTCAGGCCCCTTTCCAGTCACCGCTGGCGGTTCTCAGCAGCTTGCCTCAGGTGTTTCTATTTCTCCTGCACCCCACCTCTTCACCCGTCCTCCCGTCCTTCCATGCTCCCGTGCCATCGCCCATCCGAGGCTGAGCCCGCCACCCCTGCTGCTCTCTCATCTCTGCTCTTCCTCGGCCTCTTCCCCCGGCTTTTCCTCAGCTCCTGGACCCCTAAGCAGAGGCCTTCCCCAGGCATCCTTTTCTCACTCCCCATGCGATTCTAGCTCCTTCCATGGCTGGGTCCTGGCAAATTCCACCTGAAGTCCTTTGAAGATAAGGTGCTCAAACCAAAGGTACTACCCCCAGCCGGAGCCTTTTAGGAGCACCTCCGTGGGACCTCAGTGGGACCAGAGTGAATCTGCAATCGGATCGCTTGGGTCCGATCCTCAGCTGCGTTACCTCTAGCTGTGCAACTCTGGGCAAATTCCTTCACTCTCCTGAACCTGAGTTTCCTTATTTGTCCAATGGAAATATAACAGTACTCACAGAATCAAGACGACACTTACAGAAATGCTCAGTACAGGGTCTGGCACGTGTCACACGTTCTGTTACCAGCCACCGCCACTCCTGTCACCATTGCCCCTAAGTGGCACCCAAATCCTTGGAGCTACCTCTGAAGTGTCTCCTCCACCCGCCATTGCCATGGCTACTCTCCCACCCCCTCCACCGGCTCTCCGCCGGACTGCCGCAACACATTTATATCCCGCCTTCCCACTTCCAGCCTCACCTCTCCATCTAACTGCCACCAGTTCTTCTCCTAACAGCAAGTCTCCTTGGATTACTTCCTTGCTGGACATCCTTTGAAGACTCTGTCTTATAAAGGATAATATCCAGGCTGACTGACAAAGACCTTTATCGGCCGGCCCCTGCCTCCCTCCCCTGCTCCATCTCCCGCACTCCACACCCAACCTACTGTGCTCCCTGCCTGCGGGCTGCTTTGCATCTAAACGTCTTGATCCACAATGTCCGTCCCTCCTCACCTGATACCTACTGAAATCATATCACCTTTCAGGGCCCAGCTCACATATCCGATCCTTTCTCAAAACTTCATCTAAATTCCCACACACATGTACCATCACACCAGATAAGCTTCATTAGTCAGCTAAGTATGATCCAAAAGCCTTATTTTTTTAGGTACCAAGGAGTGCAGGAAATGTACCTTAATTGCATCATTAGTCCCTAGCATACCATACCTACCACTGAGTGGTGAGCCCTGGGATACACCCTCCAATTTCCCTGGAAAAGAGGATTGTAAAATGTTCGAGTTTCAATAGGCTTCCTCAGCTACGGCAAAAACATCATCATCCACCTTCACCTAGCTGTACTCAGAAGCATGTCACCTTAAAGATAACTTCTAAGCTTCACTAAAAATGATAAAAAGATACTTTACTTATCCTAATTCGTGTGCTCACTTTGGCAGCACATATACTTATCCTAATTCGTATGATTCACAGAAAAACAAAGCTAATAATTTTTTTTTTAAAGATTTATTTATTTATTTGAGACAGAGAGAATGAGAGAGAGAGAACACATGAGAGGGGGGAGGGTCAGAGGGAGAAGCAGGCTCCCTGCCGAGCAGAGTCTGATGCAGAACTCGATCCAGGGACTCCAGGATCATGACCTGAGCCGAAGGCAGTCGCTTAACCAACTGAGCCACCCAGGCGCCCCAAAGCTAATAATTTCAAAGCAGACAATGGGCTATAGAGACCCTATAGAGAACAGATTCCTCTACCATGGCTGGCTTCTCTCTCTCCACGGTTTGCCAGAGCCTCCACATGCATTGTGTGGCGTTCAGGAACACAAATAGGCATTCTTTTGGAACTGAACAGAATGATAGTTTGCCAAAGCACATCAGAGAAGATGCAGCATGGTTCCCTGGAACAATCTTGATTGAGCGGCATCAGAACAAGCAGAGGCCAGGGGCACCTGGGTGGCTCAGTCGTTAAGTGTCTGCCTTTGGCTCAGGTCATGATCCCAGGGTCGTTTCAAGCCCCGCATCGGGCTCCCTGCTCAGCGGGGAGTCTGCTTTGCTTCTCCTGCTTCTCCCTCTGCCACTCCCTTGCTCATTCTCTCTAATAAATAAAATCTTAAAAAAAAAAAAGAACAAGCAGAGGCCAGCTCTGATCTTGGCTAATCAGGCAAGAGAACCTTCTGTATTAAGCTCATTGTGTTCTCCAACAGGTAATGGTGCTCTAAAACTGTGCCCACCCCCGCCACAACCACTGCTGTGCTTACAGTGACGGAAGGCTAACATTCTCTAGTCTAAATGCTTCCTTAAGGGGTGCCTGGGTGGTTCAATTGGTTAAGCAACTGCCTTCAGCTCAGGTTATGATCCTGGAGTCCCGGGATCGAGTCCCGCATCAGGCTCCCTGCTCAGCAGGGAGTCTGCTTCTCCCTCTCCCGCTCCCCCATCTTGTGCTCTTTCTCTCTCTCACTCTCTCTCTCAAATAAATAAATAAAATCTTTAAAAATAAATAAATAAAAATAAATAAATAAATACTTAGTTAGGAATGCTAACAAAGCCTACTCCTTTACAACATCTTCATCACAATATTTGCAGAATAGCAAGGGCTGGAATGGCCTGCTCTGTGGGGAAAAAAATGGACTTTAGGAAACACTGTAAGTTAAAAATTTTGCTGGATTAATCCAATTTAGCCATTACTGCATTTCAATATGAACTTTGATCCACATAAATCCATTCCCTCCATTCTAAATGAATTACATAGTTGGAAAACACACTATAAATACTTTTTGAAAGGTAGAACCAGCCGGCCAGTGTTGTGGTCACATTTATCCCATGAAAGTTACTGTAACCAACCCTAATCACTAACAATCACCCCCAGTAAATGCTGACACCCTCAATGCTTTGGGGACAGATCAACTTATCACTGTATATGGAGAAACTACTGGAAGTCCAACACTTCAAAACCTCCCCAAGCCCAGAGAATACGTATCCCCAGAGCACAGAACGAAGTAGGGACTTAATAAGTACCTGCTAAATGTATGAAGGAGTGGCTGAATCACAGCCTGTAACAAATGCAGAAAAATGAACAAAGGGAAGGAAAAACTAGCTCCTCAACTGCTCAGGAATCACATTTTACAGTCGTTTGGGCTTTTCTTTTTAAATCTGAAATCCCTCGCCTGCCCGTGGCTTAGCGGCACATCTCTGGTATAAAGATGCTGATGTCCTATTGGCGCATTAAGCACGATGAAAACTGAACACAGATGAATAGACAACAAAGGCAACATGGGTCTGGATCCCAGTAAACAGCTGAGATCCGATGCACAGCCGGGAAACTGGGAGAGGCGAGCGAGGAAAGGCACACCGGCTCTTCGAGGCTGACCTGGGACACCACACCAGAGTAAGACAATAGTCAAGGCCCCTCGCCCCCACCTCAGCCATCCTGGAAGCCACGTGCAGGAAGCCTGACTTGGGGTCTGCTCTGACACGCATGCCCTGGCCGGTTGCTGGCCTCTGGGAGTCTCAGCTGCAGGAGAGCTGGGATGGAGGCTGAGCGCAGCAAGCATGTGAGTGAGCCTCTAACTGAGAGCCGGGAGCAAGAACAGGCCTCCTGCCAAGCCAAAGACACATCTCAAGTCAGTGGCAAGCAGCCGCACCACGCCCAGCACCAAACTGGATTTTTCCATGGGACTGTTTCTTTCTAAAAGTATAGGTTTTAAATGAATCATGGAACACTACATCAAAAACTAATGATGTAACTTACGGTGACTAACATAATAAAATACAATTTTAAAAAAAAGAGCCATTTCCTCAAAACGGTGAGGATGAACATGTATCTTTCACTATTAAAGGCATAGCCACCTACAGAAAAAATAAATAAATAAAAATAAAAGTATAGGTTTTAGAATTTAAAGCAAGTTGATTGAAAAACAAAAAGCCACCACACTAGATTGGTTAATCCTGGCCTAGAAGTGTCACAAGGCAATGAACAAGTCCTTTGTCTTAGAACTCCAGAGCAGACAGATTCGGGAACAATGCACACACTTTTATTAACACTTTCTTCCAGTTCTAAAGCCAGGCGAGCCAACTCATGAGTACAGGTGTGCAGCGCCCAGGGTGAGGGTGTGCACCACCGGGGCCCTCACTCAGCCCTGCCACCTGCCTTTATGCCACATCAACACTTATAAACAGGCCACTGGTGTGGAAACAAAAAGGAGAGACAGAAAACACCAAAGAGCTTATTCAAACAATTAGTTTTAGTCATAAAAGGCTGATCTTAAATCAACCTATGGATATTTTATTAAGCACGTCTGCTATTTGCTGTAAAAAATCCATCAATTATCATGAAGCATGATCCCTGTCCTTAGGGGACATGAAGATGGAAAGGAAGTGAAACATGAACCACAATATATTAAAAAAATATCAGAAGAGCACTGGGTGTTATGCACAAACAATGAATCATGGAACACTACATCAAAAACTAATGATGGGGCGCCTGGGTGGCTCAGTTGTTAAGCGTCTGCCTTTGGCTCAGGTCATGATCCCAGGGTCCTGGGATCGAGTCCCACATCGGGCTCCCTGCTCCGCGGGAAGCCTGCTTCTCCCTCTCCCACTCCCCCTGCTTGTGTTCCTGCTCTTGCTAGGTCTCTGTCAAATAAATAAATAAAATCTTTAAAAAAAAAAAAAAAAACTAATGATGTGGGGGGTGGGGGGATGGGTTAGGCTGGTGATGGGTATTAAAGAGGCCACGTACTGCATGGAGCACTGGGTGTTATACGCAAACAATGAATCATGGAGCACTACATCAAAAACTAGTGATGTAATGTATGGTGATTAACATAATAATAAAAATGTAAAAAAAAAACCTAATGATGTAATGTATGGTGAATAACATAACAATAAAAAATTTAAAAAAATATATCAGAAAAAAGTAGAAAGGAGTGTGTGACTAACTGCAAATAACCATCGAAAGAGAATGTTCAGATTCCAAATGGCACCACACGGCAGGTGCGTGAATGTTCTACAAGAACAGTTCCCCGTCTCAGGGGGGCCAGAGGTCTACAGGGTAAAAGCCATCAGGTCAGCACGAAGTCAGTGCCATCTCTGCCCCGTCCCTGTCTGCGTGGACGGCACACACCGCACTGCCTTCCCAAGTGTGGTCACATCTCTGATGTCAGCCTTCTCCAGACACTCCTCCCACCCTCAGGCTAAATGACCCTATAGGACCCTCCTCCTAAGGTCCTTGGTACCTCTGGCTTGCTGTCCACCACATCCACCTCGAGGGTGACTTCTGCGTGGAGGATTTTCTGCTTTGCCTGCTCCACCGCTGAGCTGAGCTTCTGGATGTAGGACTGCAGCTCTTCCGGGGAGTCCATGTTCAGTTCCACCAGAGCTTTGTGAAACTGATCCATCTGGCCATCCTCTAGAAGTTCCTGAAACCCAAGCAGTCGCAATTCATCTTCAAAGATGACAGCGCAATCATATACAGGAAGGAAAGAGAAACAGCTTGGAAGCCAAACAGAAAAACTACAGCAGGAGGGGGCTCCCAGCACTCCCCTAGCCTGCCCCTCCACAAAATCTCACCTCCCACGCGTGGTTCACACACCGCCCTCCTCCCCAGCTGTCTCTAGGCTGCATCGTTCCCTGGTCTTAGCACCACCTGAATAGGCAAAACTAATCTATGGTGCCAGGTGTCAGAAACGTCGTTACCTTTTGAGTGGGGAAGACGTGGGAAGGTTACTGGCTAAGAGGGGACACGCGGGAGATTTCCGGGGTGCTGGGAGAGCTCTGGATGGCAGATACATGGGGTGTTTCATGTTGTGAAAATCCATCGAGCTACACACTTGAGATCTGTGCACTTGGTAGCACATGTGCTACCCTTCAATTAAAAAGTTATAAAACAAAGATGAAAAGGCCAAAGTGAATGAGGGAAGCCAGAGTGCACAGCTCTGTCAGAGACACCTGATGCTCTGTGCACAGCACAGGTCCTCTGTGCTGCGGAGCTCCACACTCAGCACCCGCGACTCCTTCTTGACCCCAAGGGGGACTCAGACAGTCACTGCATCTCCTGGCCGAGGAAGAGGTAGGGAGAACCCTTTCTGGGACTGCCTTGCGCAAAGGCCGGAGCCCGCTGCCGGGATGCACACGTACCTGCACGTAGAGCAGTCTGTCCAGACGCTCCTGGTCCAGCTGCAGCTTCTCCTCCCGCCGGCGGGCGTTGAGCTCCTGCAGCCGTCGCAGCTGCTGCTGCCGCCGTTCCTGCTTCTCCTCTGAGCTCAGAGTGCTGCCGAGGAGCTTGCTGGAAAACGGGAGCTGCATCTTGTGGACGTTGTTTTCGTAATAATCAGGGCACTGCCATTTCTGCAGTTCTTCAGAGAAATAATTTTGGAAGTTATGAAATGGAAAACACTATTAGCACAGAAAATTAGAAAGTCAATACCAGGGTTCCAGATCCAGGTAAGATGGAGCAAGCACGATCCACCCAATCTCTGACTCCACCTAGTCGACAACATGCAGCTGTACCACCTGGACATAATGCCCACAGATCTGCTCTCAAAGAACTGCTAAGTAAAGTTCGCCTAACAGACGTGACAGCAGAAGGAAACTCAGAACATCAGGAAAGAAGGAAGAGCAAAAGAAAAGACAATCTCGTTCAATGTGACAGACTAACCTCCTGAGTTCTTTAAAATATGTTTGACAATTCAACGTAAAACCATCACAATGTCTGTTGGGTTTCCAACATACGTACATGTGATACATAAGACAACCCAGCATAAAGGAGAAAGGAGAAAGGAGCCTCTGGGGTGCTAACGTTGCCACATTCCACATGAAGTAGTAGAAGAGAGATTCTAAAAACAGTGCGAAAAGTCTATTGATTATAACCTCAGGGAAACCACTAAAAAAACTACACAGAAAGATACAGTAAAAACACAATAGATAAATTAAAATACCAATACCAAAACAAATTTTTTAAATATCAAATAACACAAAAGAAGGCAGGAGAAACGGGAACAACAAAGAGAATAAGATAACAAATAATAAAATGGTAGAACTAAATCCAACATATGAATAATTAATTTTAAATGGTCTTACCAGACTAGTTAAAAGATAGAGACTGACACAGTAGATTAAAAAAAAAAAAAAGAAAACCACCAACTATTAAGAAACTCACTTTGAATATAATGACATAAGTAGATGAAAAGGATGGAAAAACTATTCCATGCAAGCACTCAGCAAAAGAAAATAGGAGTGGCTGTATTAATGTCCAAGTGGACATCAAAGCCAAGAAAATTGCAAGGGATAAAAAGAGATACTGTATAATGATAAAAAGTCAACTCGTCAAGATAACCTAAGAATTCTAAATATGTCCCTAACAAAAGTGCTTTAGATACTTTAAAGCAAAAACTGACAGATATGAAAGGAGAAATAAAAAATTTACAATTGGGCGCCTGGGTGGCTCAGTTGGTTAAGCGACTGCCTTCGGCTCAGGTCATGATCCTGGAGTCCCGGGATCGAGTCCCGCATCAGGCTCCCTGCTCGGCAGGGAGTCTGCTTCTCTCTCTGACCCTCCTCCCTCTCATGCTCTCTGTCTCTCATTCTCTCTGTCTCAAATAAATAAAAATAAAATCTTTAAAAAAAAAAAAATTTACAATTATCCCTTAAGATTTCAAAACTCTTAATAATCAACAGAGTTAGAGCATGGAAAAGGAACAGGGACATAGAAGAACTCACCACCACCATCAACCAGTAAACCTAAACAACATCACAGAATACTCCACCCAACAGCAGAGTCCATGTTCTTTTCAAGTATAAATGGAACATACGCCAAAGCAGACCATGCCCGGGTCATAAAACCAACCTTCACAAGCTCCACTGATACCACACAAAGTTTCCTGACATAATGAAATTAAACTAGAAATAAGTCATAGAAATACAACAGAAGTATCTCCAAATACTTGGCTATAAAAAAACACCTTTCTAGGGGTGCCTGGGTGGCTCAGTCAGTTGGGCGTCTGCCTTCGGCTCAGGTCATGATCCTGGGATCGAGCCCCACGTGGGGCTCCCTGCTCGGCTGGGAGCCTGCTTCTCCCTCTCCTTCTGCCTCTTCCCCCACTTGTGCGTGCTCTCTCTCATATAAATGGATGAAATTTTTAAAAAATAAAACAACACTTTTCTTTTTTTAACTTTCAGCTTTCTACATCAACTATTCATTAAAATATAAAGTTAGACTTAACCTTAAAACCTGAAAGTTTTATTTTTTAATTAAGTTTTTATTTTAATTCCAGTATAGTTAACATATAGCATTAGTTTCAGGCGTACATGATAGCAATTCAACAATTCCATATATCATCCAGTGCTCATCACAAGCGTGCTCCTTAATCCCCATCACCTATTTCACCCATCCCCCCACCTTCCTGCCCTCTGGTAACCATCCATTTGTTCTTGATGGTTAAGAGTCTATTTCTTGGTTTGCCTCACTCTCTTTTTTTTCCCCTTTGTTCATTTGTTTTGTTTCTTAAATTCTACATGAGTGAAATCGTATGATTTGTCTTTCTCTGACTTATTTCCCTTGGCATAATACTCTAGTTCAATGCATGTCATTACAGATGACAAGATTTCATGCATTTTTACGGCTGGTAACATTCCTTTGTGTATATATATACACCACATCTTCTTTATCCATTCATCTCTCAATGGACACTTGGGCTGCTTCCATAATTCACCTATTGTAAATAATGCTGCTATAAACATAGGGTACATATATCCCTTTGAATTAGTGTTTTTGTATTCTTGGGGTAAATACCCAGTAGTGTGATTACTGAATCACTGGTGGTTCTATTTTAAACTTTTTTTTTTTAAGATTTTATTTATTTATTTGACAGAGAGAGACATAGCGAGAGGGGGAATATAAGCAGGGGGAGTGGGAGAGGGAAAAGCAGGCCTCCCTCGGAGCAGGGAGCCCGATGCAGGGCTCGATCCCAGGACCCTGGGACCATGAACTGAGCCAAAGGCAGATGCTCAACGACTGAGCCACCCAGGTGCCCCTATTTTTAGCTTTTTAAGGAACCTCCATACTGTTTTCCAGAGTGGTTGCACCAGTTTGCATTCCCACCAATGGTATAATAAGAGGGTTCCTTTTTCTCCACATCCTGGCCAACACCTATTTCCTGTGTTTTTGATTTTAGCCATTCTGAGAGGTGTGTGATGGTATCTCCTTGTAGTTTTGATTTGCATTTCCTTGATGGTGAGTGATGTTGAGCATCTTTTCACGTGTCTCTTGACCATTCTGTATGTCTTCTTTGGAGAAATGCTTGTTCATGCCTTCTGCCCATTTTTAATTTGATTATTTGGTTTTTTTGGGTGTTGAGTTATATCAGTTCTTTATGTATTTTGGATACTAACCCTTCATTGGATGTGTCATTTGCAAGTATCTTCTCCCATTCCATAGGCTGTCTTTTAGTTTTGTTGACTGTTTCCTTCACTGTACAGAAGCTTTTTATTTTGATGTAGTCCCAATAAAACAACACATTTCTAAATAATCAATGGTTCATAAAAAGAAATCTTGAGGGAAATTAGAAAATATCTGAACTCAATAAAAATGAAAATATATCAAAATCTATAGGATGTAGGTAAAGCAATGTTGAAGGGGAAATTTGGAGCATTAAATGCTTAAAAAGAAGAATGGTCCCAGGGCGCCTGGGTGGCTCAGTAGTTAAGCATCTGCCTTCGGCTCAGGTCATGAGCCCGGGGTCCCGGGATTGAGCCCCACATCAGGCTTCCTGCTTAGCAGGAAGCCTGCTTCTCCCTCTCCCCCACTTGTGTTCCCTCTCTCGCTGTGTCCCTCTCTGTCAAATAAATAAATAAAATCTTAAAAAAAAAAAAAAAAAAGAAGATTGGTCTCATAATAATCTGAACTTCTACCTTAAGAATCTAGAAAAAAGAGAACTAAACCTAAAGCAAGTAGAAGGAAGGAAATAATAAAAAGACATCAATGAGATTACCTAAATAGTCCTACATCTATTAAATTGAATCCATAGTTAAGTCTTCAGAAAAAGAAATCCCCAGGCTCAAATTGTTCCACTGGAGAACTCTATCAAACATTTAAAGAAAAAAAGTATCAATTATCTACACAATCTTTTTCAGGAAATAGAAGAGGGGGGGGCGCCTGGGTGGCGCAGTCAGTCAAGCATCCGACTCTTGGTTTCAGCTCAGGTCATGATCTCAGGGTAGTGAGATCAAGCCCCATGTCAGGCTCAAGAGGTGAGCACGGAGCCTCCTTAAGATTCTCTCTCTCTCTCCTGCCCCTCCCCCACCAAATTAATTAAAAAAAAAAAAAAGGAGGAACACTTTCCAGCTAATTTAACAAGACCAGCATCACCATGATACCAAGACCAAAGACAATATAAGAAAACTATAGATCAACATCCCTCATGAATATAGACATAAAACCCCATAAAATATTACCAACTCAAATAAAGCAACATATAAATATAATAATATACCTGAATAAGTGGGGTCTATCACCCCACCCAATCAAGGCTAGTTCAATATCCAAAAGCAAGACAAAGAAAAAAAAGGCAAACAGACTGGAAAGGAAGAAATAAAACTGTCCCTATTCACAGATGACATGTCTACACAGAAATTCCCAAGGAATCTACAAAAAACTAAAATAAATTTAGCAAGGTCCAGTATATAAGGTCAACACATAAAAATTAACTGCATTTTTTTTTTTTTTAAGATTTTTTATTTATTTGACAGAGAGAGATACAGAGAGAGAGGGAACACAAGCAGCGGGAGCGGGAGTGGGAGAGGGAGAAGCAGGCTTCCCGCTGAGCAGGGAGCCCGATGCGGGGCTCGATCCCAGGACCCTGGGACCATGACCTGAGCCGAAGGCAGACGCTTAACGACTGAGCCACCCAGGCGCCCCTAACTGCATTTCTATACATTAATAATGAGCAAGTGGAAACTGAGATGAAACAAGCAAAGAAAGACTTAGGCATAAATCTAACAGAACATGTACAGGATCGGTATGTCGAAGGCTACAAAATGCTGAAAGAAGAAATCAATAAAGGACCTAGGTAAATGGAAAGACCTACTACGTTCATGGATTAGAAGATTCCATATAGTACAAAATGTCACTTCTCCCTAGTCTAGATTTAATATTACATCTTGATTTAGTATTGTATTTGGATTTTTATTTAAAATGTTGTTGTTTCAGGGACACCTGGGAGGCTCAGTCGGTTAAGCGTCTGCCTTTGGCTCAGGTCATGATCCTGGGGTCCTGGGATTGAGTCCTGCATCGGGCTCCCTGCTCAGCAAGGTGCCTGCTTCTCCCTCTGCCTGCCTCCCCCCTGCCTGTACTCTCGCTCTCTCTCCAACTCTCTTTCATTCTCTCTCTCTCTGGCAAATAAATAAATAAATAAAATCTTAAAAAAAACTGTTGTTGTTTCATATCCAATCTAATCCACAGATTTCATACACTTTCAATCAAAATCCCAACAGAACATTTTTGTAGATACGAACAAGTTAATCCTAACATCTATATGGAAAGGCAAAGGAAGTAAATTAGTCAAAACCCTTTTGAAAAAGAACCCACATGTATAAGTTATCAGTTTATTGAAAAGTTTAAGTAAATACGAAAAGGAAGAGGGGATACTGAAAAGCGAAAAGAGTCATCCCGGGGACAATTTAAGGAATACCTCCATGTACAATATCTACAAGCCACAGGCAAATGCCCTCTTCGTTACCTTCCACATAATCTTCAGCAACATAGCTGTGCTCGTGCAGGATCTCCTCCATGCGGCTGAGAGTGATGGCTGCCAGGTGCCCAGGATACTTCAGCTGCAGGAGGCGCTGGAGGTAGCCAGCTGCTTGGCTTCCTCCCAGATTGATGCGTTTGCAGTTTTTAGCATCTAACCTACAATCAAGGAATGGAAAACAACACTGACACTTTGGCAACATGGAAGAAAGAACAGGGAACACTTCGTGGGGAGTTTGGGGGAAGGATAACAATTCAGATGAACAAAGAAGAAATGGACCCAGTGAGGAAACAGAAAACTTTACAGATGAAGGGACTCTAAAGCTCCCTTGATTCAGCCTCTTACACTATGCAGGAAGTCCTAGTCCACACCCAGATACATGGCATCTAACGTCCATCAAGAGACTCAGAAGGAAACAAGGTTTGATGGGAAGATTGTGCACTCTGAATTCAGACCCTTATGTCACTTGTCAGGATTTCTCAAACTGTGGTCCTTGTAGAATTAGCTGGGGGAAATGTTAAACATGCTAATTCTCAGGACTCATTTGCTTTGGGGTAAGCCTGGGAATACACATTTTAACAAGCTTCCCAGGTAATTATGGCACAGGCTGGAGTCTGAGAACCCCTCCCCTAGACACTCCCCTTCTACTGATGCATACACATTAAGTACACACATACTGGCTTACTGTAATCCCCTAAAAAGACCAGGTCCCTTTTCACATGATGCGAAAGGGAAGAGAACCAGAATAACATTTTTCTTAATGCGAAAAATTTAGAGCAGAGCACTAGGATCTTGCTGCATATTGAAATGTTCTGCTATATCACCCCTCACCAGCAGATGCCAGTACAGAACAGGTCAGGCTCCACTGGGATCATTTTTTTTTTTTTTTTTTTTTAAGATTTTATTTATTTGACAGAGAGACACAGCGAGAGAGGGAACACAAGCAGAGGGAGCAAGAGAGGGAGAAGCAGGCTTCCCGCAGAGCAGGGAGCCCGATGCAGGGCTTGATCCCAGGACCCTGAGATCATGACCCGAGCTGAAGGCAGACACTTAACGACTGAGCCATCCAGGCGCCCCTCACTGTGATCATTTCTTAGCTTTCAGGTAAAATACTTTTCTCTCAATACGCTATAAAAATAACATAATGTTATTTTTAATTTCCACATATTCTGCTTACATAAAATAGAAAATTCCATATATCAGGAGTGTTTGGTAATGTGTAAAAGAAGTATTATCTTCATAAATTTTTATAGAAACTTCAAAAGAAATGACCATTTTAGGTCTCAATAAATTCAGCAACATTTATTTTGACTTAAACATTCAGACTCTTTTATAGTTCACAAAATGCCATCATCTACATGATCTCATTTCATCCTCAGGGTAACCCCGAAAAAATCAGTTTTTCCCAATTTTACATGTTAAGAAGCTATGTAAAGAAGGCAAATAACCTCATCCTCAGCAGGGCTGCAAACCCAAGCATTCAACTCCAAAGCCAGGATTCCACTCCTTACTTACACACCCTCTTTATGCAGTAAGAAACCTCAGGAGAGCATGATGTTGGTGTAGTCTCTTCTCAGACAATAAAAGTCCAACTATAACATGGAAACACGTTTAGGGGTGCCTAGGTGGCTCAGTCGATTAAGGGTCTGCCTTCAGCTGGGGTTATGATCCCAGGGTCCTGGAACTGAGCCCCGAGTCGGGCTCCCTGCTCAGTGGGGAGGCTGTTTCTCCCTCTCCCACTCCCCTGGCTTGTGTTCTCTATCAAATAAATAAAATCTTAAAAAAAAAAAAAAAAAAAAAAAACAGGTTTAAAAATGACAGAAACTACCCTCACCTTTTATCCAACTTGGAAATGTACCTATATTATGTGCCAGGCACTGTACCTGAAAAAAAAAAAAGGCCTAAACAATCATGATTAACAAAAAGGTGACTCCAGAACACAAAGACCATTTAAATTACTCAAATAATTTATTCAAAACATTTTTATGAAGCACCTACTACCTGTAGGTACTATGTTAGCTATCTTGCCATAAATCAAAACAGTAAAGTTCTAGAATTATTGATCTGGACCTCAAAGACTATCTACTGCAACTCCCACCAGGAGGTCACAAAGGATGGAAGGTGAATTGACTTAACTGAAGTCACATAGTGAAGTATGTCAGCGCCAAGCCCAGAGGCCAGTTCACAGTTCAATACTTGTTCTTTCCACTTCACCTTTCAAGTGGGCACCCAATAAATGTTTCCCAAATGCTTCTCAAAACAGCACTCAAATGCTGTCAGTGCTACTCACCTCCCTTCTAAGATGGGTAAAATATGTGTACACTGGTATCCAGAGGAAATGATGAGCCCACTGGAAATCAAGTTCTTTGGCTTATTGTGGTAGAAGCTGAAAAGGCTGTCTATTCCATAGGCAACCTTAGGAATCCCATAGCACTCAAAAAGAAGCTCAGACATCATTTGCCGAGAATACAGTGGGTTGCACACAGCTTCTGTCAAAACTATGGGATGATCGACACAGCCCTACTTTGAAAGAAAAGGGAGAACAGATGAGTAACAAAAGAATACTCTTTTTAAAGCATAAAAGAAACCAAAGTCCTACTGTAAAGACTGAATTTGCTTTTGGTCTTCAATCAAAAACCTGACCGGAAGCAACTGTAAAACACTCATCTCATCCTTACTAGAGGTTGTTTTAGAAAATATAAAAGTAGGGTCAATTTAAGGTTATTAAGTCAAGCCCCATCCAAACTGCCAGCAAATCATGTTGGCTCTATCTTCAATTTACCTCCAGAATCCAACTGCTTCTACCACATACCCCTCCCCTGACCTCCTTCACCTAAGTCACCACCACCTCTCACTTGGATTATTCCAACAGCCTCCTTACTGGTCTCCTGGTTCTACCCTATGACCCATGTCAATCCATTCTTCATACAGCAGCTATAGTGATCCTTTCGGAACAGAAGTCATGTACCTGCTCCACTCAACACCCTGCAATGGCTTCTCATTTCACTCAAGTAAAAGCCAAATGTGATTTGCTCCCTCATCACCTCTCTGACTTCCTCCTCCACTGACTACTCTCCTCTTACTCTGGCTGCTCTCAGGATTAGGGCACACTCCTGCTCAGGGCCTTTTCACTGGCCGTTTCTCTGGAATACTATCTGCTCAGACATTCACATGGCTTACTCCCTCAATCACCTCCTTCAATCCTTGCTAGAGCATCACCTTCTTCCTGAGTTTTACCCTGACCATCTGAAAAAACGTAATCTTCTCCTCTCCTCCTACCATGTCTTAGAATCTACTACTTAATTCTATTGGTTATTGTCTGCCTTTTCATTCTAGGTCCATAGCACAGGAAATTTTCTGTCACATTCATGGATGTATTCCAAACGCCTAGAAAAGTGCCTGACACAGAGTAGGTGCTCAATACAGATTAGTTAATAAATGAATTTGATAACAAACGAGCACCTACGCCAAATGTACGCTGCAAGAGAGAAGGAGCGCTGTTTCGTTCACTGCTTACTCCAAGAGCCTAGCCCAGGGCTTACACACGTTGGGCACTTAAGATTTACTCGAATGACGAAATGAATGACTAAAGGACAACGAGAACTACTGTTGTGACTACGTCCTCTCGGAGAGCAGAGTGCGGGGAGCCGCGACCTCACCCCTCCCCTCAAGCCCAACCCCCCCTCCCCCCCCCGCCTCACCTGTGAGGAGACACCCAGGTGCTGGAAGCTGTAGTCCAGCAGCAGCTCCTGCAGCTCCAGGTTGACCGGTACGTTGCGGTCGAAGGGTGAGCGCAGCATCCAGCGCAGCGGCTCCAGGCTGCCCAGCGCGTTTCCCACCTGCGGGCCCGCCCCGCCCCGAGCCCCGCCACGCCCGCGGGCGCACACGGCGCGGAACTGCAGGCGCGGCTCGGGGCCCGGGTCCGGCCCGGGGCATGCCCAGCCGGCGCGGGCCTGGAACGACCCGTTGTCCAGCACGAGTGGCACCGGCAGTGGCCCGTGTGCCCCCGGGCCGGCCTCCAGCACTGGGTCTGGCGCGGCGCGGGCATCGCGGAACGGGAAGACATTCGCCACCGTCCCAGCGGCACCGGTGGCCGCCATTTTGGAGCGCGTACGCTGTGCCCGCCCCTCGCCGCAGCGTCCGCCCAGACGGCGCTAACCCCGCCCCTCGCCGCAGCGCCCGCTCAGAGGGCGCTATCCCTGCCCCCCACCGTAGCACCCGCACCGACGGCAGGAGACTCCGCCCCGTGCGTGACGAGAGCCCCCCAAGCCTCCTCCCCTCGCTGCGCCTGGCCACCCTTTCCGCGTGATTCGCCCCTAGCGACCCAGGCCGCCTTTGAGATCACTAGGCCCCGCCCATGCTGGCCTCGAAGTCCCGCCTTTGCTTAACCTCGCCCCACCATCCGATCTGGCCACGCCCCTTCGCTCTATCCGGGACGTCGGCCAGTAAGCCCCGCCCCTGTATGCGAAATACCATCAGGCTCCGCCCCTTCCCGGCCTCCAGAAAGGGGCGCGAAACTACGCCGGGCCCGCCTTTTCGCCTGGCCACACCCAGTTTTGGGGGTAGCTCACCTTCAACCGCCCTTGGCTCCTCCTCCACAGGGTTTTGACTCCCTTAGCCGGGCAGTCAGGGAAATCCAAACGCTGGGGTACTGACAGAGATCAATTTCTTTTTTTTTTTTTAAGATTTTATTTATTTATTTGAGAGAGAGAGAATGAGAGAGAGTACATAAGAGGGGTTAGGGTCAGAGGGAGAAGCAGACTCCCTGCTGAGCAGGGAGCCCGATGCGGGACTCATCCAGGGACTCCAGGATCATGACCTGAGCCTAAGGCAGTCGCTTAACCAACTGAGCCACCCAGGCGCCCGACAGAGATCAATTTCTGGACCAGAGATCTTGCTACGCACTTTCACTTTGTGAAAATTCATCAAACTGTCCACTTAGGATTTGTGCACTTGCCTGTGTGTAATATTTTGTAATACAATAGTGTCTTAATACATTTATTATTAAATAATTGAATTATTATTTATTTGTTAACTCCCACAGACTATGCCCTCTCACTGAGACCTCAGAGACTGAGAAAAGGACTAATTGATCCTCAATATGTATATTCTCTCTTCCTTTTAGTGGTATAACTCCCACGCAAGGTCATCTAGTATGAGTCTATGACTAAATTCTGGCCAATGGGGGTAGGAGTGGAGATAATGTGACACCCCTCCCTCCCAGTTTTAGCTCTAAAAGGATTAGGCAAGCTCTCCCCTACCCGATTTCCCCCAGCTAGGGGGATACAAAGGTTTAGGGCAGCTGCACTCTACACTTCCAGTTCTGGAACATGTAACTTTGAGACAGAAAAGCAAGTTAATTATAAAAGATGGCTCCAAATAAACACTTTTAGCAAGAGATAAGACCTTAAGTCTTTCTCAAAATCTCTGTGAACACCTCTAGGCCAGATTGAGAACCAGCCTAGTGGCAAAATCAGGTTAAGTGTGTTGCCTTCCAACACAAACCCATGTCTCAGATATCTGAAAGTACCCATCCTTGAGCTGAGAAAGCAGGAATAAGCAGAACACAGAGAACAGTAAATATAAGTGAACGTAAGTTTAAGAACTACATCTATGTGTGCTAACATGGACAAATCTTCAGGATTTATTTTTAAAAGGAATAAGTGAAGGCAGTACAGTGTATAGTGAACTCCCTTTACGAAAGAGAGGGAACAAATACATATGGTTTTGCTTGTATTTTCATACAGATAGAGAGGAAACTAATATGAGTTTACTTGTAAAGGGAGGAGTCAAGGTGGGAGGATCAGGTGTGGGAAAATTTTCACTGCATATTTTAAAACATTTTTAGCCGTGTGAATGTATTACTTTTTCAGGAAAAAAAAAAAGCACTATGTATAAGTAAGGTAGACTGGATTCTTGATCCCAGTTCTTCACTCCCATACAATAATAGGATTATAATCCATACCATCTGCCACGTAACTTTGTAGGGCCTCTCACTGCAGACGTTGATACTGGGCTTGGCCATGTGGCTTGCGTTTAGCCAAGGATAACCAAATGTGATCTGAGCAAAGACTTAAAATGTGCTTTGTGGTTTAGACTGCCCTCTTGCACTCCTGCTGTTAGTCAGGAGAAGAACATGCCCTGAGTCTAAAGAGGATGGAAGACCCATGGAGCAGACAAGAACGCAAACTACAGCCTGGAGCCAAGTCCAGCTGACCTGCAACCTAAAGTTGACCTGCCCTGTGGACCCATGAACAACAACAACAAAAACGTTTGTCCTTATAATCTGCTGAAATTCTGGGTTGCCATGCAGCATTATTGCAGGAGAACATTGACAGCTACACTAGACCAATGCTGTCCAATAGTACTCTCTGCCATGATGGAAATGTCCTACAGTCTGCAATGTCTAATGCATGAGCCACATGTGAGTAGTGCAACTGAGGAGCTGATTTTTTTCTTTTACTTAATTTTAACTTACATTTAAATTTAAATAACCATATGTAGCTAGTGGTTACTCTGTTGCACAACATAGCACTAGTCAAATCTATGGTTGTGACTATTTGCCCATGGAAATGACTAGAAGAAAATAGACAAAAGCCTACTGTATTAGTTTCCTAGGGCTGGCATAATAAAGTACCACTAGCTAGAATGGCTGAAAACAACAGAATTTTATTCTCTCATAGTTCTGGATGCCAGAAGTCCCAAATCAAGGTATTGGCAGAGCCATGCTCTCTGTGGAGACTCTAAGGGAGAATTTGTTCCATGCCTTTATCCTATATTTTGGTGTTGCTTATACACACATCACTCCCCTCTCTGCCTCCACTGTCACATGGCATTTTCCCTGTACGTGCATCTCTTTTCTTCTGTTTATAAGGACAACAGTCATATTGGATTAAGGTCCCGTCCCACTTCAGTATGACCTTATCTTAACTAATTACATCTGTACACCCTGTTTCCATCCCACCCACAGAGTGTTGTTGGGAGCTGCTGGAAGTGTAAAGCTCCTCCCCCACCCCCCACCCCCCACCCCCCCACTTGCCTTGAGCTTGGCCCTCAGCACTGCTGGACCAACCGGCTGGGTGTTTCTGGCTAGAGGCCTCTCCTCTCCTGGTCCCTCCTGACCCCCACAACTGGCAGAGATGGCACCCACAGCATCACTGTGGGATCAGTCACAGCTGGTCTCTTGAACAGACTCAATCCAAACCTCTAGGAAGTAGAGCTCATCTCCCAAGCCCCTACCTCACTGAGATTAGCATGAGGCAAGTGAAGCATTTGTCAGGAGAGCAAAATTTAAGAAGGTACAAAAGAATTCAATAAGATATTTGATAAACGATTTTCAAGGTCAAAATTCAAAACTGAACTATAATGTTCAAAATAACATGAACAAAATAATAAAATTTGAAATCAAGACTGGATCATTGCTGATCCTTTCTTTTGCTTCAGACTCAGGATGGCTGAGCATAGTGCTGCTACCGGTCTATACTCTCTGGATGTCACTGTTACTGATCCTGCATGCTTCAGCAACAGGGAAATACACTGAGGTCTGCATCTTTGAAATGCATTTTTTTTTAAAAGGTGGATTGCTAGATGAATAGATGGATAGATATGGGATAGCTATTTCAGCACTGTAAAAATGTTAATTGTTCAGTCTAGGTGGTGGGTATGTGGGCTGTCAGTGTAGAATTTTTTTACCTTTTCTGTATGCTTGAAATTTTTCTTAAGGTTGAAAAGGAAAAAAATAAAAAACAGTGAGAAGGACACCCAAGGCTGGCTCTCTGGGGTCAAATCAGCTCCCTCTCCTGAATCCCTGGATGTCCAGGTCTGGGTTTTCCATCACACCCTCACTGGCAGTGAGGACTAAGCCCTGTAGCTGGTCTGCTGCCTCTTTGACTGAAGTCTCTCTCTGGCCCTTGACCTTGAGATCCTTCATCCCCACCAACAGAAAGTCAAGGATCCTCTCAACTTCCTGACTGGTCCTTATGAGCCTGTTTGGCTCCCTCTTTCCCTCCCAAGTTCCTAAGGCAGGAACAGATCAGTCCCTGGGGTAAGACATGTCATTTAATTCCACAACAGAGCATCTTTTTATATTTGAGGGGAAAACGATCAAAAGCCCATTTTGAAATATGGAGGACCTGAAAATAAAGCACTAGAGATAAACAGTGATTATCAACTCGGTGGGGTGGGGGGGCGGATGGCAGGAAGGGAAGAAGCATTTAGAAATCTGGGGTCTGCAGGAAAGAGTTTATCCAAATTCTAAAAGTGGAGAGCCTTCTTTGAGGGCTGACAGCTTGCGTTCTCACTGCTGGGGGACAAGACAGGGCTGTCTCGGGACCAGGTGGTGGCAACTCCTGGGTTCCCGGGGGGGGGGGGGGTGGCAAGGGTCTTGGCTCCAGGCCAGGGGCCCAAGGCATTGAGCCAGGTACACCTATGCACAGCTGCCTGTCGTGGACGCCGGAGGGGACCACTTATCAGGATCCATGCTAAGACCTGCTGGGTACAGATGGGCACCCTGGGGGGTGCAGAGGTGGATTCTCCCCACCCCTTCCTCAATTCGACCCCCTAATGAAGATTCATTAGGCCAGGCCTAACACCTCCCTTAGACTCAGACAGTGCCCTCGCTGCAGACCCAAAGCACGACCGGAGTGCTTCCTTTCAACTTCTACCCATGCATGCTGGTGTGTTGGGGGCAGGGGCACGGAGATGGGTCCCAGCTACCTGCTCCCTATTTCTCCCGGCAGCCTGAATATGAGTCTGAAATGGATGTCCTACCTATGAGGGTGCGCCTAGAAGGCTGGCTCTCCTGCCCCATCACCCTCAGGACCCGCCCGGGGTGACCAGGGCTCCTGCAAGCTGAGCACAAAGCCCGGAGCTGGACTCAGGGGAGTGGATCTAGGCAAGTCCGCGGAGGTGGCAGCCACTGCATCCAGACTTGCCTGCTGTCTCATTTGTCCTTCTAAAGATGGGAAGGATGGAGCTGGTGCACGTGACGCCCCCACTTTGCCTTCCACTGCAGCATTCCGGGCTTTTTCTGAAGACTACAGACTGCCCTGAGACTCAGAGCACATCCCAGGGTCGGCGGACCGGTGGACCAGTAGACCAGCCCAGGAGAAGTGGCAAGCAGGGCAGGGGGAGGGTCAGCTTCCAGGCCTGGGATACATCAGAAAGCCTAGGGAAGCTGGAAACTGAGGATTCTTTGGCCAGCTCCGGATCCTGGACAAGAGACAATTGTGACAAGGGGGGATTAGGTGTTTGACATCTGAACATCTCAGATGGCCCATTTAAATAGTCAGAACCTCGGGCAGCAGAGAGGACCAGATCCTAACCCTCTTCTGCTCCATGGCTGCAGAACCAAGGTGGTGAGAGGTCACCTCTATCGCAGACATGCCCACAAAGATGCTCTGTGTGTGTGCGTGCGCGTGCACACACACACACACACATTCATCAAGGCTCTCACAAGACACAGATGTAGCCTTCCCCCCACCCCACACGCAGATCTTTATATCTCCTACACATGCGCGCACGGGCACCCACAGCCGTTGCAGAGAGTAGGGAGAATGGACATTGTTCTTGGGCATTCTCGCAGTTCTTCCTCATGCACAGTTCACATCTAGAGAAATCGCTCCAAACTAGTCCTCTGCCTTGGTGGTGGAGACTGAAAACCTCCCACATGGCTTGTCTCCTGTGAGGACCCTAGGAATGGCCTGGCCTTCCTGCCTTCCTCGACCGCATCTATTAAGTCTGACTATGACCTTCTCCAATGGGTCTGGGATTGGCACCCTGGAGTCGGATCTACACCAAAAAAGGACTGGATCCTCTAGGTTAATTAAAAAAAAAAAAAATCTCAAACAGGCTGTTCAAGAAGAGGGGAGATTGGGACACAAATTGCTCAGGCTGTTGATTCTAAACAGCCAGATTTCTTCACTGTGGCCGTATAAACCTCAGCTTGGACTTGAGTGGGGTTCTCCTGGGTGAGAGATGCCTGGGCGGCCAGGTTGGCCCCTGGCCCTGGGAACCCCCCGGGGAAATACACAACCTGCTGTTGATTTCCTTTACAGTTCTCTTCACAGTCCACAGCCAAGTGTGGATTTCTGCATGCCCTTGTTTATTGTCTCCCCCCCCCATTGGAGGTTGAGAGAGTCCCCAGAATTCTCAGATGGATCCAACCCCCAGGAGGGATTCAGAACAAATATTGTCCTGTTGGCTGCGGCACGGAGGCCACACTGAAACCGCAGGGAGCACGGCATGCTCCTTCCCCTGCCTCCCGCAAACACCTGGAGAGCCTCCTCTTACTGCAAACCATCCTCCTCATTCCCCCGGGCTCTCCCAGGACCCATTAACTACAGGTGCTCCTCCACCCACACCTGCTTCACCCGGCCTGGCCAGAGCCGGTTCCCCTGCGGTCCAACGCTTTGGGATCCCCCCCCCACCCGGTCAACCTCCCCCAACCCCAGCCCCGGGCGCAAAAATGCAGAACTGACACAGGCGCGGGCGCCTTTGTTTCTTCTTTATTTGCGGATATAATTATGTACCGCACTCTAAATTAGAGATAGATTTTTTTTCTGATATACATTTCATCTTATTCACCACGAGCACACCACACGCACAGTAGAACAGTTCCACAACCTGATAAATTGCACAAGATGAGTTTGGATTCCTGAAAACCGGCAGACAAGCCGGCCCTGCCTCGGCCTCTCGCCTCCCCGCTTCGCCGAAGGAAATCGCCCACCCGAAACAGACTTCCCGGACAGCCTTTCCCTCTGCAGGGTTGAAATGTCCCTGGAATGGGAAGCGCTCTTGCTGGAAATGGCTGGACGCTGCAGATTCCGAGCACTGGATGGCTGTGAAATGCCCCCCCCCCAAGGTCAAGTTTCTGCGCCTGCGAGCTGCGCCCCCTCTCCCTCCCTTCCCACCTGCCTCGGTGACAGGGACCAAAGAGTCGGGGTCCCTCCGGGAAGGACAGAGAGCCCGACCCACAAATTCGCCCCCGCCTCCCCAGAAACTAGGGTGTTGTGGAAAAGAAAGGACAACAGAAACGCAGACGCGATGGATTGTGGATTCCTATCCCCTCCCACCCCACCCCCCATCCCCGATAATCAGAAACTAGGAACCAGAGATGTTTAAAGCTTGGCTTCCCAAGCACGGCGGCAGGGCGCACAGGGCCGGTGGAGGTGGGTGGGGAGGGTGGGAAGAGCGCGGGAGAACCTGAGCCCTGGCGCCCTAGTCCTCCGCGTTGGTTCGGTAGGCCTCGATGAGGCCCTCCAGCGAGTGCACGAAGCCGGACACACTGCAGATGCCGCCGATGACGAAGATGGCGACATCGAAGAAGACTTGGTGCCACAGGAGCTTGCGCCAGAGCAGGCGCAGGTGGAAGAGGCTGGGCAGCAGGAAGCAGAGGCCGGCGCCCGTGAGACTGCCGGTGAGGCCCATGAGCAGCGCGAAGTGCGGCACGTAGATGGCCATGAGCAGCGTGAAGACCACGAGCGCACAGCGCAGCGTCAGCCCCCACGACTTGAGGCGCCCGTCGCCGCCGTAGCAGCCGGGGAAGAACGCGCGGCTGCCTTCCTGGAAGAGCGACTTCTCCAGCACCTCGACAGCAGCGAAGAAGGGCAGCGGGTAGGACAGCAGCGCTTTGGCCACCAGGAAGATGTTTACCACGGCACGGATGGAACCAGGCAGGTTGTCCGTGATGACCTCCTTGGTCTCGTCGGCCCAGGTGAGGTAGGCCACCAGCGCGAAGAGGCCTTTGAGCACGCAGGCGGCGATGTGCGTCCAGTTCATCATGCAGTGGAACTCGCTGGGCTGCTGCATGTTGCCCTCCAGCGAAGGCAGGAAGATCTGGGACGTGTAGCTGAACACGATGATGCCAATGGAGATGGGAAACTTCTTGACATCGATATAGAACTTGACCTTCTCCCAGGCCCAGTCGCGAGCCCGCGAGAGGCAGTAGGCGATGACCAGGATGTTGATGACGAAGTGAGCCAAAGTGCACAGCAGGCTGAACTTGGACACTGCCTTGAGGTTCTTAAGGAAGGCGCAGGGCAGCAGCACGGCGGTGGCGATAATGGACCAGGACTTCTGCGACACGGGCAGCCCTGGGAAGCTGTTGTACATGAGGTTGCCGCTGACCACCACGTACAGGATGCAAGTCATCACCAGCTCGATGATCTGCGCTACGTTCACCACGCGGCCTCCCAGCGTGGGGAAGCGCGGGGCGCAGCACGCGTTGGCTATGGCTACATACGAGTCCCGCACCCGCACCACCTCGCCATCCTCGTTCTCCTCGTACAGGCAGGCGATGAGGATCTTGCCGGTGTAGCAGCACACCACGGCGGCGAAGATGATGAGGAACAACCCCAGGTAGCCGCCGTGCAGGATGGCGTAGGGCAGGCCCAGCACGAACATGCCCTGCGAGGCGGAAAGGCAACCAGACCCGGGTGCTCAGCGGCCGCAGCCTAGCCAGAGGGGACCTGGGGGCGTGGCTTAAGGCTGCAGCCGCAAGGGGGCGCTAGGTGGAGTGAGAACGGGACTTGAGCCACCGCGAGGAGAGGTTAAGAGTAGGCTGGAATGGGGGTGCACCGAGGCCTACTGGGGGAGTCAGTCAGAGGTGGAGAGGGAGGTGTTCCAGGCTGCAACTGAGGGAAAGGTGTGCCTACGGCTGGGAGGTGCGGAGGAGGCTGAGTGTGGGGTCAAGACACAAGGAGGGACTGGTATATGGACAAGGGGCTGGAGGAGTCGTGGCCAGAAAAGGGCGCTGAGAAAGGTAGAGCGAGGCCTGAGCCATCAGGAAGAGGGGGCACGGGATTTAAGGTGGGACTGGAATGGGGGACAGGGAAGCTAATGAGGGCCTATGGCCTACTGGAGAAGGGACCACGAACGCGGCAGTGGGAGGGGAAAGAGCTAGGGTAGGACGGAAGAGGGGCTGAGGGTGCACTGACGGGAAGCAGAGGGAGGCAAGAACGGAGGGAAAGTGAGGATGCTCCCAAAAGCTTTGGGGGGAGGGGGGGAGGCCAGAGGCGCACGGAGTGAGAATCCTAAGGCAAGGCTTCAGTAGGGTGGGAGAGGCTGGGGCCTAAGAAGGGGCTGAGAGTGGTAGAGGCAAGCAGGATAAGGGGCCTCTGGGGGAAAGTGCAAGGGGGTGAGAATATAAATCAAGGAGTCAAGCTGCAGACTCAGGTGGGTGGACCGCGGAAGGAGGGTTTAGAATCTACAAAGGGAAGAGAAGCTAACGAAATCCAGGGTTCCCACGGCCTCCAGGCCTCCAGTCTCCCTCCCTGGCCTCCTTCCGGGCCTACGGAACGGGGCCTTCAAAGACGCCCCTGGCGAAGGCGCGGGTGGCAAGGAGGCGGTCGCTGTCCCTTGCCCATGGTTCTGCATGGCCACCTCGCAGGGCCCGGGAGCGGGAGGCGCCTCGAGTCAGACCACTTAGTGTGCAGGGCCCTGCGCAGCCTGGGTCCCCGAAGCAACCCCGCTTTGGCCTTCCGCTCCCGGGAGATCCCTGTTGTGCGCCCCAACGACCGTGCGCTCCGGGGACGCCAGGTGGACCAAGCCACAGGGCCCGGGGGCTCCTTGGGCTGAGACCTCCTCCTCCCCTCAAGCCGCGGCCTGCCCGCCTTTGCCAGCTCCTGGGGTCGTTGTGCACTCTCCAAACCCGCTCCCCGTGGAGTCCGGCGCCGCCTGGTGGGGAGTGGGGCGCTGCGAGTAGGGTGAAGGGGTGGCAGGCCTGGAGACCAGAGACTGTTCAGAGCATCCAGAGGCTGCTTCTCCAGTCACACGCGGAGAAGCTGGTCGCCTCTTTGCCGTGTAGCCGGGATTTCGGGCGAAAGGGGTGTCTGTGCACAGGGAGCACTGAGGTACCACAGGCTAATTGTGCTTGTGTGAGCACATCATGCATGTGCTTATGTTTGTGCACACCTGTATGTCCCCAAAAGGGCAGCACCTGAGAAAGTGGGCTGGATCCTGTTTGCAAGAATCTGTGCTTGTGTGCATGTGTATGTTCAAGGTTCGTGTGTGTGTTTGGTATGTACAGGTATGTGCTTGTGTGGGGGTGTAGGAAGGTGCCTTTGAGGATAGTCTTGTGGTCTCTATATAGATGCATGTCGTGTGCACCTGTGCGGCGATTGTTCGTGGGGGAGGGTGGATGTGAGCAAGTGTGTCTTGTGCCTGTGTCGGGGGAGGAGACTCCCAGCTCAGCAATTTCCCTCTCTCCTTTCCTCCTGAACGTGCAGCTGTGAATCCATTCCGGAGTCCCAGGCGACACCGTTCCCTCCAATCCTGATTTTCTTTCTCCCTCACCCCTCCCCGCTCCCCTCCCCCTGTTTCCCTCTGGTTTGCAGGGTCTCAGGGCAAGTGCCTCGGACCAAACCTCAGCCTAGCAGTCCTGCGCCTGGGGCCGCTGGAGGGAGTGCGGATCAGGGCGGGAGACCCCGCTTGTAGGGTTGTAGATCCCCCCGCCGCCCCCCACCACAGGGCTGGGAGGGATGGGGGAAGGTGAGATCCTGGGTACGGGAGGGGATCTCTCCGCTGAGATCGCCCGGGGACCCGCACAGGGGTAGAGCCTGGTGCTCCAGAGCTGGAGGAGGTGGAGGGTAGGGGCAGGCAGAGCAGGGAATCCCGCGCTCACCTGGATAGCGTTGGTCACGTTCCAGCCCGCCTCCCACGCGGTGATCTTGGGTTTGTCGTGGCCCCCGAATTCGCCACCAGCCCCCACATTCTGATCTTTGGAGCCCGAGGGCGGCAGGGGCGCGCCACCGCCGCGCTGGTAATGGATGTCTCCCTCGACGGGCGGTTCGGCTCCCTCGTCCCCGCAGGGCTCACCCTCTGTTTTCAGGATGTCCATCTGCAGGCCCTGACGGTGCTCAAAGTCGAGGTCATCGCAGTGAGCAAAACCCACCGCTTCCTCGTCGGTGGCCGCCTGAAAACCCATCCTGGCGAACATGCCGCTCACCTTGGCCTGGGACTTGTTGGACACGGTTGTGGCCACGTTGGACAGCTTGCTGCGGAGAAGGGTGGCCATGGCGGCGGCGGGGTCCGTGGAAAGGACAGAAGGGGCCGGGGACGCGGGGGATGCGCGGCGAGGCGGCGAGGGCCAGGGGGGCGCGAGGCCGCTATCTTCGCTCGCTTTCCCCGCGGCGCCCCAGGGCGCTCTGGCTCATGACCCCCTCAGGGGGCGTCTGAGGCTCGCTCGGAGCCCACCCTGCGGGCGGGCAGCGGGGCTGGCGGAGCGGCGGCGGCGAGTGCACTGCGGAGCTGCCGCGGGGCGCGCGCTGGGCTGCGGAGGGCGGCGGCGGCGGCGGCGGCGTCAGAGCGGCTACGCGAGGCCGGCGCGGCGCCCCCACCCGTGCGCAGCCCACTGCGCTCCCGCCCCTCGGAATCAGGCGGGGGGCGGGCGTTGGGGAGGGGGAAACACCAGGAGGCGAGGGGTTGGGGGAGGAGGGCAGCGAGAAGAGACAAGGGGCGCGAAGGGACTCGGGAGAATTGAGATGGGGGCCGGCGAAGGGCGCCCGCCGGGTGGCACCGAGAGGGAGCGCACACGGGAGGGGGCGCGGAGGGCACGGTGGGGGCTGGAGTGCTGCAGTTCTGGGGGAGGTGCTAAGCTCGGATCCTAGCCCTTCCCACCTCGCCGCCGCAGGGAGGGAGGGGGCCGGAGCGTGCTGATTCTCGCGGTCCCGCGGCCGCGACTACCCCCTCCAGAGCCCGGGAGTCTTTCGGCCCCAGAGCCTCTGGCCAAGGACCGCTCTGGAGGTCCAGAAAGGTGGCAGGACAGTTACCTGTCTCCCGCGGCGCGGGCCGTCTGGGCGTCGATCTGTACCCATTACTCACACTGAGACCTGGCCGCAAGCCCCCCTCGGAGGCAGAAGTGTCCGTCCTGGACCGCTCTCGAGAATGCTCAGCCCGTCCGGGTCACGGGGCTGTCTCAGCCCGTCCAGAGACGCCGCGATGAAAGCGACTCTGCGGCTCGCTCGCCACCGACCGGCCTCCAAATGTGTGCAGAATGGAGGCGAAAGGTTGGCCTTTCGCTTTCTTTTCGTTTGGGAGTCTGGAAGGAGGCAGGACTTCGTGAGGGCCTCTCTCGACAGCCTCGTGGCGGGTCTGCGAATGTCCACGGAGCAGAGGGGCGCAGCCGGTGTCCCGCCGGTAGGAAAGCAGGGCTCGCCGCGGGCCCCGGGCGCGGAGGTGCGCCGTGCGCTCGCCGCGGTGGTGGAAACCTAGACCCTTTCTGTTGAGTGGGGTGCGTGTGTGCGCGCGCGAGTAAGAGAGCGACCCCGAGACAAAGACCGATACCTTATCAGATACTGCTACGGGCCGAATCTGAGCGGATTCCGAGGGTGAGATTTGGTAACCGTGTTTGTTCTGTAAATGTGTGGTTTCGTGCGCATTTGAGCCTGTGCGTTCGCAGGGCTGGTGTGTTCGATTGTGTGGTTAAGTGTTCCCGAATGGGTTGCCTGCGTTTTTGCCTGTGTGCGCCCTGTTGTAGCTGTGTCTCCCTGAGGGTCCACCGCTCGGTATGGGTCCCTGCCTGTGTTCCCAGCTGGGCTCCCACCGGGACTCCTCTTGAGCCTGAGCAGTAAACAGCAGCTATGCGACCTGGCCTAGGTGGAGGAGGACTGGCGGCTGTGACTGGGGTGGGGGTAGGGGTAGGGAGAAACTGAAGGAAAGGAAAAGAAAGGGATCCCCTATCTCCCCCTCTCAAGGCTCTGTCTCTCTGAGAACCCCAGTCTCCCCCTCCCCTGTAGTATTTCTAGATTAGCCCACGTCAGCGCACAAGTAGGGCGTCAGCGCACAAGTAGGGCGGCCTGAGGGCTTTGACCAGCGAATTGGAACTGCCAGGACAAGACAGGCAAGACAAGACTTCCCCCCTACTCCCTGTCCCCCCCTCTCAGCGCCTCAGTCTTTGGCAAGCTCCTCTCCAGATAGGGAACCTCCACCACATTGGACAGAGATGCTCTTGATCCCTCCCCAGGTATCCCCTTAAATTCCCCCAAGAGCCTGCTTGCCAGAAACCAAGACAGAAACCCACCCCCCATAAGTAACCTGAAGAATCCATCCCCCTGCACCAGCTGCTATGACAAGAAAACCTTTCCATAGAGCCTGACCCCAAACACAGATCCTCCAAGTCATGATACGACTCAGAACAAAGAGAACAGAAATCTTTCCTCCCCAAATACAGATCATCTCCTCCAGCGAGGTTTGAAAAAGAACTGATCTCCCATCCCAGAGATTTGCCCTATACAGAGACCCTCCTCCAGCCCCATCCCCATCCCCAGAGGCTGGGAAAGAGATCCCTTTCCCTAGACTCCTACAGACAAAGGTCTTCACCTCCTAATCTTCATGCCACCTTTTCTGTTCCTGGTGAAATTCTTTAGTTCCACACAAGGTGATCTGGGCAGAAACTAGGAGTCCCTAGTGCCTGCCTCTAGCACATACACACCCAGACCTGAAGACGGCCATTGATGCCTTCTTTGACAAGTGAGGCAGTGCCGTATATGTATGAGTTGGTCATTGCTGATTTATGTGTGGATTTTAGGTGGGTCCAAAATGCTTATCCTCTCTTTCCTTTTCCCTTATGTTGTTCGCTGCTGTTAAGACCCAAGGGGCGCTGTGAAGTTCTTTCATTAGTGAGAAATGGGGTCATTCATTCATTCAGCAAACCTTCTCACTGCCCTACTGTGCACGTGACTACCTTCCCACTGTTGTGGGAACCACCAGGACCATGCGAGCATGGTCCCTGTCTAGGCTCCCCACCACAATTTTTGGGTCTATGGGGACATTGGAGAGCATTCAGTCCAATCATCCTTCCTGCGATGCTTAAGCCATCCCTAAAACACCCCTTCTTTTACAGATAAGCACACCCAGGCCTGGCCATGAGGTGTCCTGCTCAAGGTCACCCACAGTCCAGGGTAGAGCCAGGGTAGAGCCCCAGGAATCCTGATGTTCCTCCTGTGCCTTCCCTTCTGTGACCTTGTCCGTCCTTCCATCTCCTCTCCCTGGTTGTTTGGTGTTTGGCCACCACACTGTCAAGAGATGACATTTGAAGCAGACACCTGTCCCTCTGGCAGTCATCAGATGTCAGCAGTTGGAGCAGGAAAGCCTCTGCATCCCTCTTTTCCTGCTAATTGCCACAAATGCCTCTTCCCAGGCCAGGGTGGCAAGCTCCCAAGCAGCCTTCCCTCGTTGGAATATTCTGCTCCCTCATGTATTAACTGTGCGACATTGGACTACGAACTTAACTTCTCTTAGCTTCTACTTCCTCATCACTAAAATGTGAAAATAATAGTAACAGCTTCATCTGGTTCTTGAAAGGATTCGGTGAGTCTTGTATGTAAAATGCCTAGCAGGGAATGCTCAGTGCCCAGGACATGGTAGCAATTATTCTTTTGTTTTTGCTGGCATACTGAATGGCCATGTCTCATTGTTTGGGGGGGAAAGTGAGTGTGCAAGAAAAAGCCCTTGATGTGTGTGGAAGTCAGGGTGAGTTGGCATGTGCCCTCTTCTGTCTTTGCCTCACCTCCCCATCCTCACCCCTTCCAGGGAAAGGAATGGAGGTCAGGAGTTGGGCAGAGGGCAGGGGACCTGGCAGGCAGCCCCAGGAGGCAAACAGGACACCCTGCCTAGCTGGTAATGAGCTGGGCGTGCTCTAGAGAAGCCATCAGCCTCCAGATTCTCCTGATAAGCTCCTCTAGGGGCGCCCTCTCGAGAGGAATTTGCAGCAGCGTGGCCCCCTGCGCTGAAACACAATGCACACATACACACATGCACTCACACACAGAGAATGACAAGGCAACTGACGGATGGACCAAGAAGTGAGGGCCAGTGCCCAGATTCAAGCACATTGGCAGACTTACACTGGGCAGTGCACACAGGTCAAGGACAGGCCAGCGCGCAGACACACAGAAGATCTGAACCGAGACTGCCCACCACACACAGAAACCAGGGCAGACCCCCCCTAGATGGAGCCCCAGGGGCACCGTCACCCAGATGACAGACTTAGACACACAGCAGCACAGGATGGGCAGGTAACACGGAGAATTGTACACACACTGACAGACACCCAGACACGGACCACACATACAGTTCACATCCACACCCATAGTCAGGCACCCCCCCGAATGCAAGCGTACCCCGATAGGATTACCAAAGGGGAATAGAAGGGAGAACAAAGGGAGGAAAAGGGACAGAGGAGATATAAAAAGGAACAAGCTAGAAGAGGGAAGAGGGAGACAGAGAAGGACATGCCAGGCAGAGGCACCAGCCAGCAGGGCACAAAAGAAACAGAGGTTCCACAGCCTTCCTCTTGGCCTGAGCCAGAACCCAGCCCTGGGACTGAGAAAATGGGAGCTGGGAGGGTTGTGGGGAGGGAGCCGGAACTGTCGCTGCTGTCCACCCTGGGAGTGGGGCCGGGGGGCTCTCCTCTCAGGGCCACACAAGGTCCCACGGTCTTCAGGGGCTTGGGAGATCCCAGGACTCCTGCCAAGCCCCATGAAGCAAGGACAGTATTCTGGACCAATCCTGCAGTCTGGGCCCAGGTGGAATGTGCACCCCTCTGGCAACAGGAGATCCGTTTCTGTTTTTGATGCGTTCAGTACCCAAGGGGTTAAACGCCTGGCAAACGGAGATGGAGGCCACTTTTGGGAGGAATAAATAGGGTTAAATAGAACTGGGCTTATCTCCCAGAGCAGGCAGCAACATGGGGGATGGTGTAGGGAGCCCTTGAATTAATGGCCTGGAAAGCCAACATCATGAGCATCATTTTGGGGCTGAATGATCACAGACAGACCCCTCCCCTTCCTTTTCCAGAGCAAATTCTGTCGGTGAGCCTTTTCCTGCTGAGGAGACAGATGCTGGCCCTATAAATCGACCTCCCTCCCTCAGGCTGGGGCAGTAGTGAGGGTTTCATGCAGCTGGAGGAAGCCATGCCTACCTTGCCCCAACCAGAACTCAATTTCCTGATGCTGTGTCTGTGGGCACAAGGGAGGAGAGGGGGCAGCAGGGCTGAGGGTTCCGAGTGGGCAGCCC